TAGCACTTTACAGGACAAACATAAACGTTGCTCAACCAACAGCAACAGCACGAAATAACAAACTTTAAATGACCATGTAAGCCAGGGTTTTATGTAAGGATATATTTGCATCACTGCTGCCCAGCACAATTTGTTTGCACCTAAATGTCTCTGAGGTCTGCTGCTATATACCTGCTTCCTTTACATGTCCCTGGAGGGTGCCACTAGGATTGGGGATTTTCTCTGCTGATAGGCATCCTGTTTGTTTTGTGGTAATTTGGGCCTTGCAGTTGTCACTGCTTCCACAGTCTCTGTTCTCAGCTTCCTGGTTCAGGTGCACTGAAACCCTAATCTTTGTTATCTTCTTGTGAGGCCCTTGCAAACAGTATGTGTTTTACTCCAGGAACCAGTTTTATCCTGTATGCCAATTAATTTATTTGGAGGAACATCTACAGATTGGTCAAGCTCAGGTTTCTTATCTTTTCTTCCGCCTGGGTTTGGGAATTGTCATTTGAAAGGTTTCTCATGGGGCTTCCCAGCACACAGCTGTCTCACCTGCTTACAACTATGCTGATGTTTCCCCAGTGATGACATGAGCATATGGTCACATCTGGACTATAGAGCCCCCCAAATGAGCGTGGTTGAAGCCTGTGGCTCCTGCTCTGCTGTGGCGTGACATGTTGCACGCCCTCCATAACCCCATCCTGTCCCAAGCCCACTAAAGGCTGACTCCCCACCCCTCTCAGCCTCCTGCACCTGCTGGTGGGGATGGATCTCATGACTGCCATAGCCAAAGCATGGCATTTCCAACTTTATTTTGAAAATACCCCCAATCCAGATGTGCTGCATGTTTCCCTTTGAATGTTTTTGTAAGAATAGAAAAGCAATGACCATCAACAAAACTAAAACGCTGATCTTTTTCATTCCGACGGGACTCTAATCCCTTGTAAGGGCACCGGAGAGCCATTAACAGTAATTTTAAATGAAATACACCTGTGCTGGGTCTAACTAATCAGTTGTTCAATTATACTGGCAGAAAGATGTATTCCAATTATCCAAGTACTTTCAAGTGAATTAAGACTCCTTTCTGTACTGGTTGTGGAGGTCACTCAATGTTCCCATGAATCCCTGCATGTTTACATTAAAAAAGCACACCATGATCTTTGGCAAAGGCACTTGCCCTAGGTTAGTTCAGCTTTTGAGCTTGTTGCCATAAATACAATAGAAAAGCAGCCAACCGTTGCACAAGAAGCCAAGAATATCTTTCAGTACTTTGTTTCCCTATCAGTAATTAATCCAAATGACACGGGAAAAGCTTTACAAATGTGAAATAAAAGTTTAAAAGATGAAAGTGCAAATACCTTATTAAACATGTTTAATAAGCACAATGTTTGTGTTAGAAATATAGGCTGTTTTTGAAGGAATGGATCATGCCCAAGTAACATGTTCTGAACTGGAATATGAACTGACTTTGTCACCTGCTCAGTTTACACCTGTGCCATTTCCTTGCATCACTGAAGTTTCTCCTCTTTAGGCAGGAGGCTGTGGACAGCCTGGGTCATGTCAGCACACATTCTATACCAAAGCTATTCCATACATCATTTTCTCAAGAGTTCACATTGAAGCCTTATCAAAAATAAAGCCATAAAGACCCACTTTTCCAAACACATGAGAATCATGCCATGTAAGGTGCCTTAATACAACCAAGTAATGAAATGTGTTTTCACTCTTTCTGGTAAGAAACAGATGTTTCATCCCCCGAGAGTTTTCAATTTGGTGTTAACATGGCAATGTTGTGTTTGTTTAAGAGCAATTTAAGTATTTTTATATTTAAATGCTCGCTGAAATGTCAAAATTTATCAAGCCAGAACATTTGTTTCCCAGTTAGTTATTCCCTGCTGCCAACTAAAATGGAACAGTAGGAAAACGAGTGATGAGATCTATTTTAGAGCTTAGTCTAGACCCCAAACTAGTATATGTTCACTTCTGCAGATCAGAGGATCTAAAGCCAAAGAGACTGCATCTCAAGGGGAAAGGGTAGAAAACTAATAGAAACCCCAATCCTTTTATTTTTAACATAAAATCAGTGATGAACTATCATTTTTGGTGAAGTATAAAAATGCAGATATTCTCCATTTCCTCTTGTGCCTATTTGCTGTGCAGAGCTGGGCATCCGTGGCAGCTCCTACCATGCCTGCTTTCATGGTCCTCAGCAGGAACAGGAGGGAATCCAGCCACAAGTGCTGGCCCCAGATGGAGTTGTCGCAGTGTGGCTGATACAGGCACAGGCCCATCCTGCCAGGCACAAGAGAGCAGCAGGGCAGGGCAGGTGCCTCCAGGTACCCACACGCAACTGCCCCTGCACTTACCCACTTTCTGAAAAGATCCAGTGGTGCTGGAGAGCGTTGCAGGGCACGAGTGGTGACAGGGCCCATCACAGATGTCTCCTCTGGGTGAGAGCTTATATTGTAATTGTTACACACCACACCTCAGGTGCAGTTCTGTACGCTTTAAGTAAGGGCACTAAGTTTCAGCTCATCTCTAACCCCTTGTTGCAGCCCCTCTCCTTCTCAGGCTTTTCCAGCAGGACTAATAAGAGGATTTGTCAGTCCAACCGCATCCCTCAGTCCCAAGGGGAACCTTGCCTTCTTCCCAGACCCATCCTGCCCAGGACACCAGGACGTCAGTAAGGTGCAGGTCACGTTTGGTGACTACAGGCTGCAGGTGACTTTTTGATTCCTGAAAGCAGGCTCCTCATCTCTCAAATCCTCAAGCAGGGAGAGCTGTGAAATAGAAGCTTCACCTACAAGCAGTTTTTAGAAAGCAACAAAAGGGAAAGACTGTTTCTTCATCTGATCTGTGTTGCTTTGCTTCTCCAACTACTTCATTTTTATTTATGGCCACAGTATTGATGTGTTGTTTTCAGATGTGTCCGATGTCCCCCTGAGCAGGGCTGTGGGTACAATGCCTGTGCAGAGGCAGCAGGTCCTCAGCCTCCTCCCAGAGGAAGGCAGCCAGGGAGACTCTGGCCAGCCCAGGGGCTGGCAGGTAGGAGCCAGCAGCAGCCTGTGAGTGCCTCGGGCAGGCAGCTGGCAGCCAGCAGCCATGGTTGCAGGGAGCAGGACCTATCGGCCTTGGGTCTCCTGCAGCAGTTTTCTGCACTATTCAAACCCAAGCACACAGTGAAAAGAGAAAGAGTTTTATCAGCTGGCTGGTTTGATCTCTCTGGTTTAAGAAACACAGTTTTTTTAAGTCAAGATCATTACAACAAAGGCTGATTGTTTCAGGGATAAAAAGTCTCCTAGGTTTCTGCCCAGTCCCTTCAGAGAAAAGACAAGGTAGGCCATCTCACAGCTCCCTTTGCCTTGGGTACAGCTGTAACTCCCTCCTAAGGGCTGGGAAAGCTACAGGTTCCTGAGGCAAAAGGTCTTGGAGAAATGCTGGGGAAGGCATGCAAGGGAACTTTCAGAGGCCACTGTGCTCCCCACACCTGGCAGTGCCGTTGGAATGGAGCCATCAAATCCTCCTTGTGATCCTGCCCACCTGGTGATTTTCAGAAGCAATGACCTCATCACTGACATTTTGCCACACAGGGCTGTGCTTCTTATCTAACATCCAAAGCTGTCATTTTCTTTTCCTCAAAAGCCACATCTTTGGAAACTTCCACATGACCAGGACAGTGGATGATATACTATTGTCTGGTATTCACATACCCATTGCTCAACATTAGGAACAACATCCTCTTTGTAAAGCATCCTCAGGGGTGAAATGTTACTCTAAAATGCAGGTATGGGTAGAAGCAGAGCCAAAGTGTTATTACTTGGAAAAAAGAAAAGGCTGAACTAGAGCCCAAATTTAAAAACAATAAAGAAATCAGTTTGTGTAGAAAGTATTTTTATTCTGAAAAAAATTTTTTCAAATTTTTGAAATACATGTAAAGTACAACATAGAATTATGTCTGCAAGTCAGTTTATGCATGTCATGCTAGTTATTTACATGTAGATATATACAGAGTGCAGATAATTATTGAAACCACACTACAAAATAAACAGAGAGTTCAATAAGATAATTTAGAAGGGCTTTATTAAATATATAGTTATTGATTGTATATACTTTCCTATTAAAATACCATATAGCATCTAAAGTAACCCCTATAAATTCTAATACCTCCAAAGTTGTCATAAATATGATCGAAAATTTAAACTATCTATGTGCCCTGCTCAGCTGCTTTGCCCTTTGCTCCAACAGAAACTCTTGCAGAGATAATGGTGCTATCTTTAGTGCCAGAACTTTGATGACAATTCACAATAAAAAAATTGCAGAAAGCTCAGATGCAAAATAGCTTTCAGCTGAGGCATCCAAGGATTGAAGAACCATGCTCTATACTTAAGAAAATAAGGATAATTCAATGTCTTATTAAATACTGCCACACACAGGACAATTAAAAAAACAATATGATCCTCAGTGACTAAATTAGTTTTGATACTGAGCACCTTATTAAAACAAAACAAAGCAAACTCCCAAAGCCCATGCAAAATCTTAACCAAAAAAACCAGACCTCCCAATGGATACAGGTACAGCCTGATTGACAGTCTGACTTTAGCACGAGCAGGAACTGGAAGGGCTGCTGCAGCAGCAGCTGTCAGGGCTCTGTGACCAGGAAGAGAGAGACTAACGTTGCCTGCAGCTTGACCTCTGGTTACTAAGTGATTCATACAGGGCATTCTGCTGAAGGAAAGGACAATGTATCATAGATTATCCCATTAACAGAATATTCCATCTTCATTCTGGGGACTTCTTGCCAACAAACCCTCACTATAAATTGTCAAAGGTCTGTCTTTGACTTCACTAGAGCTTTGAGAGTTTCCATCAGTGGAGAAGATCCACCCCAGCCTGGAGGATGTGCTCCCCTACTGGGATTTCTCTTCTTGCTGCTCAATCCAAAATTGCACAAACTTCTGCTTTAAGAAAAGGAGTATAAAGAACAATGTGCTTTTTAGTTTCATTATTTATTCTGATGCAATCTTATTAAGTAGAAAATAGGTCAGGGGAGAAAAGTTAACAACAAAAAAAATCCAATTACTGCCATACAGTACTTTTTTTTGGTTGTAATAATTGTTCTGAATTGCAGAATTTTGCAACTTTTCCTCTACTATCATGTCTTTCCTAAAGGCATATTACAATTCAATCCAATTACAGCCAAAGAATAGAGGTTAGCACCAGAAAATATATAAAAGGAAAATAAGTTACTATTACTATCATAGAATAGCACTGGTCAGCAAATCTGTGCATCTTTTTTTCATGGAAATAATTGTACAATGAACATTATAGATTAGTTAGGGAAATAAGTGATAGCTATGGTTTAATTTAAGAGTTTTGTTACATATACATCTAAATGCCAAAATATGGCAAGGACATTTTAATACTGAACAATTTAACACAAGGAATTACAAAAAATTAATCTTTAGAATAATTAATAAAAAGTGTGACTATAAAATATTAATATACTTTACATATTTATCATACAATATATCAGTCCTTCACACTATTAATTTGATTCATGTTGTGCTGCAACATGTATCAAAAGGTTTGACAAAGAAAAAACGGCTAATTATTTGTTGTTATATGTTGTGGGTACAGACATTATATCCACAAGACAAACAGCAATCACAATGTGTCATTACCTTGAGTTCTACAATCAATTTTGGAAAAAAACCTGCTGCATCCTTTTAAGAAATATAAGAATAATTATTAAAAAAAATTGAAACCTTTCCTTGTACAGTAAATCTAACTTTCATAAAAAACATTAAATCAATACTATGAACTAATTTAGTTCAGATTGCCTTATTTTCTGGTAAGGCACTATCAAGATATTATATCTTCATTTAAATGCTATATGGATTTCTGATTCTTTGCTATTATCAGAAAGGATTTTTGGTCAGGCCCGAGAGTGTCATCATTAGAGAAGCTTTGGTGCTGTCCTCACCCCCATTTCAGCCTTTGCACCCTACTTACTTAACTTTCTGGTTCACTGTACAGCTTCTTGCAGAGATAAACTCCCTTTTGAAAGTCAGGGAAGAGTTAGGGCATCCACAAACCAGCAGTGAGATTATACAGAAAGTGCTACTACCTGTTGCAAAGCAGAGTAAAAGAAAAACACAGAAGATTTCAAAAAAAATGAAAACCCCTACTCCTGGAGAGTGAGTAAGTAAGAATGGGCATGACCTTTTTCAGGTGGAAATGTTATTTTTAAGATAAACTACTTAAAAATTATGGTTTGTTCAGAAGAAGGGCCTGAAAAAGCTCCAGAGTCTTAGGGAGGAAAATACAGATTTGTTTTGTGAGCAGCACATGAATGGAATCCAGTTTCTTATAAAGTTGTCTTCTGCAATCCAAAGTTGTATCTAATGTGAGATGAATGCTCAGAACAGATGAAACACTTCTCCCACACAGGGATTCCTCCAAGTCTTTCTACAACTTTTGCCTCAGCACTTGCAGGTTCTTCTTGCTGAATCTCTAACTCGGCTTTGCATTTTTACAAAATGTTTTATGAACTTGACATCTTTGAGTCCTATAGCTTGCACCCAGATCAGCTGGTTTCAAAACACAATATTGGAAAGTTGTGAGACATATACAGGGGATGTGAAATTACCTAAGCTTAGGGGTTTATTTCTGCTTACTTTTAAATAAGGCTAGAACAAAGCAAGTAGGAGCAAAAATTTTCTATTTCACCATTCTACAAGATTTCACAACAATTAAATTGCCCCTGAGAAGTATGAGGGGTTATCAAAGGATGTTCAATAGAGGTTTGCCAGTGACTCCCTGCAATAGACAAAAGTTGGGATTTTTTCCCCAGACCACTGCATTTCTCTGCCTGTGTGAGATGTGCTGGGTCTCCAACCTCTGCTCAAAGCTCTGCTTCCCTTCCTGCTCCTTTTTGCCTGCAGCAGCACTTCTCCCAAGAAGGTCACCAGAGGTAAGCCTTTTGACAGCCTGCAGTTTTTCAATTGTGAAATACAGCAGAAGCACAACCAAAACCATGTTCATCTTCTCAGGGCAATGGTAGTTTCAAGCATAGCTTACACTAAGAAAACTTGGCTTGCCTTAAAACAAAGAAACACTCAATCAGATTCGAAAAGACCTTCACTGTCAGTGACATCTAGAGCAACCCTTCATCACAATGCACTGGGTACAGTCTAGACTTAAGATGAAGTGAAACATGGTTTGGGACTAATGAAACTGTTTAGGGTGACTCAAGTCACTCAGTCACTAATTCAAGGGGTCTGTCCTCAACTGCCTGCAGTCAGCCTTGCCCAGACTCCTGCTCTAAAACGCTAGACCATTTTTGGAAGGATGCTCTTTCAGCCTCTCTCCTTCCCTGATCACCACTTGATACTTGAATTAATGAGGAAAAGGATCCTGCAGGCTTCTGCCACTGGCCTGAATTCTAACAATTGCTCTGAAGAAATCATGCACTACAATATATATAAGTATATATATACTTATACATATAAGTAAAGAATGTTCTGATGTGCTTCTTTATGTTGGCAATAAATCTGATTTTCCAACTTAAACAAGAAGAAGGCTATGGAAGGAAAAAAGAAGCAGTTAAACAATTGTGGATGTTTTTAGTCCTAGCAGAAGTTCTTCCTTAAATTTTCTGGAAGTAGTGTACAACTTAGAAATCAGTAGAAGATTTGTATGATGATTTCTGCTCCTGAAGAAAGAACTAAGCCTGGACAGGTCTATGAAACTAAGCCTAGATGGTTTTATGAAACAGTAAATTCTCCTGGAAGCACTAATGTTGAAGAAATACTAATGTAAAGGTTAAATATCCTCGTTTTCAATCAGGCATGATAAGCAGCCAAGCAAGCAATGCATGTTTTCCCTCAAGGTGTACAAGAAAGATGCTCAGACTGAGAAAGCTGCTTAATGTTTCTGAGACTTCTTTGACTTTGGTTTTCATTTTTTTCTCTTCAGTTCTACCAGAACCAAACAATTGGTCTTTACACCACCTTTAAAAAGTAAGGATTTTTTATTCTTTGGAAGGAGAATTGTTTGTCAAATATTTTAGTAGAAGTCAGGAGAAATAATACTAAATACTTTTATTGCTACATAGAGCTTTCAGCATTCATAGCTTATAAAATTGGCTAGTTCACAGGCCACTTGTCTTATTTGCAATGAAAAAAGTTGGAAAAAGAATCAGTTACAATTTATCTCAGGTTTCAAAACATATTGCTGTTTTTCACTTCCCAAGACTCCCAGTCACTCCAGATTCAGCATCTCCTTGTTTTCTACAGATGTTGTTTTGAGATACACTGAGAATATCTTCCAGATGATGGATATCATTGAAATAAAAGTTGTTAATATTATTTATACTGATACAGAAAGAAAGAAAGAAATTTAAGAAGTATTTGAATGAAACATTCATTAAACACATCACATTTTGAATGAGCACTTACTGCTCAGGCAGTGTATAAACTGATATTATCAGCTGCATAAATCCTCTACCATATTGTAATCTCAATGACTAACAGAAGTTCAAACTTCTAATTTACAGAAAACTCATTTCTTATTTGAAATGATTAGGACTAATTTTAGAATCAAGTTTTCTAATGGAGAATTCCGATCACAATAGAAGCAGTACTTACATTATGAAAAAATCCATGATTTTCCATATTTAAAAAGAGAGATTGTGAGAGATGTCATAGAGCGCATTGCCTCTAAATTTCACACTTCTGTGAGCAACATCCTTGGACCTGAAAGTCTTCAGCTAAACAGCAATTTTTTTTTATTTTATTGCTCTAGTGTTCCTTACCCATAAAAGAAGAACAGAACAACCTTTTGCAAACAATGGAAGTTATTTAAGCAGAGTACCGTCTTCAGTACAGAAACTGTTAACTGTTTCATTACATTCTGTTCCATTGACAGGGAGCTGTGTAACCTGCAGCTGCAGCATCTGAAGGAAATCTACCGCTCAGCTAAGGGGCTGATCCCATATCTGTGTCAGATAAAAATCATAGTGCTTATTATTTGTTACCATGGATACCATGAAGATATTGCTGTCCACTAAAGATTACTAGAGGAAGACAACATAATTCTCAGGAACTAGTCCTGTTTTGCCCTCATAAGTTGCCTTTAACCATCCTGGTTCCACTGATGGATACACTACAAAAGAAAACACACAACTAATTAGCACTGTTAAAAAATCATATACATGCCTCATATATTTATTTATATAGTATTTATTCAAGAGCAATTGAAAAATCAGGGCAAAACCTGAGACCTGAAAATGGAATTATGGTCTCATTTTATGGATACAGTTCAGGTTTTTTATAATTTTTTTTAAAATATAGAAGTCAAGGTAAAAGATATCTTACCATTGGAAAATATTGCCCCCTGTGGGAAAGACAGCTCATGACTATGCTCAGCCTTACAGGAATACATGGCTTTTGCTTGCCTGAAAGGAAAAAAATACAGGCTTGCAATAAATCAGATAACAAGGAAAAATGTACAAAGAAATTAAATTAAAACCTGGGAAATATAGAAATAAGCAACTGCACAAAGGCAGTATGATAATGACCAGTTACACAGCAGAAGAGCAGAATTATAGCAAACAATAACTTCCAGCTTACTGGAGTTAACAAGCATGTTATTGCAGAAAAGGGACTGATATCCCACTTAGATTTAAAGAGGAATATAATTTGGAACTTTTAAAATGAAGTTGTCATTCAAATGAACTGAGCATACTCTTTGAAGCAAGTCATGCACTACCTGGAGACAAAAAGTGATCATCAAGTCATTAAAGGTCTAAAAACATAGCTTTTGAGAAACTATTGTTGATTGGTCTACAGAGCAAAATATTACATAGAAGATAAATGTGAGACAAAAAGGACTGATGATTCTGTTCCAAAGAAGAAGGACAGAAAAAGTCACCTCTTGGCTTCTAGCATTATAATTCTGCAAAGTACAAAATGAGGGTTTGAAGATGAAGATGGAAATTAGGAGTTCTCTCTAGATTCCTGCACTTTACCTAGTACCTTTAACTTATACACTCAGAACAATTTTATATGAGTCACTAGTTTTTCTGAATTTCTTTAAACCCACATTATATCAAGTGAATATGAACTTATTGATTATTTCACTTTTCTAAGACGTGATGGCAAGTTGACCTAATATGTGACCTGTGGTGAAGTTTAATATTTTCTGCATACTTTTGAAGAGTGTTTATATGCAATTGACATGTAATCTATCATGTCTTTCTACCAAAATAGTGAGATAACAGAGTTGTAAGTTGGATTAATTAACAGTGCCACATCATAAGCATTAGCATTATTCATCTGAATCTTTAAAAGGGTATAACAGTGGATGAACATCCAAAGTTTGAATGTGTGAGCTTTCCAGAAGTGATTTCTCCCTCTGAAGAAAAAGTTTTTCTATTGATTCTCTGAAAAAGATTTATGACTGGACTAAATGGCATATTTTGCCTTCATCTTAAGCAAGCAAATGACTCCTCAAGGATTACACTCTCAGGACAAGATTTTCAGAGGAGATCAAGCATTTTGAGTTGGGCCCATGATATTCAAGGGCAGCTTATTTTCAGCATGCTGGAAACATTTCTAATTTTTATTACTATCATTCTGATTACATCCCTAGAGCTAACCAGAACAAGATGAGCACCGGATCCTTGTTTGTCCCTTTTCTTAAATGTCAGCTTGCTCCCTGGCTGGTGTAGACTGCTCTAAGTAGCACTTTTTCAAGACACCTTCTTCGGTGTCTCCTGTTATGAATAATTTGCCATCTACAGTCAACAAGATGGGTGTGAAGAGTCATTACTCTCCATAATTATCCATATTTATACATAATAATCTACATAATATAGACAAAAATATACAGAGGGAAATTAGATGACTTTTACTGAAGGTCACACATAAACTAGACCTGAATTATTTAATCTCTTTTTTCCTCAAAGTCAGCAAAGAGCACTACAGATGTTCTAATTATCCTAACTCAAATCTGTAACAGTATGTTGAAACAGCTACTGCCTGTTTGTGGTGGGTTGACCCTGGCATGACCTCTTGTCATGCAAACCCAATACATCTGTGTGGCATAATCATGCATTTTACACATATAAAACAGTAGAGTAACCGTTAACAATAATTACAATGAACGTAAGGTAATAGGTGGTAAATTTACTAAAGTACAGGGGGTGATTTCAAACCTGAATAACTTGACTATCAAGCCAGGTGCCCACGTTAAGAATGGGACACCCGAGTAATACTGTGACAAAAGACGTTTCAGGCAATACTTAAATGTGAGGTAGAATTATGTAAGTTAATCTTGAAATATGACATTGTTTTTATTTCTCTTAGAAGTTGTTAAGAAAATTAATGCAATTTTCTTCTATATTCTCTAATGTCTACTAAACTATTCTGTTTTTAACTTCCAATTTTACCTGATCTGAGTATGTTTAACTTCAAAGTAAAAACAAAATAAGAAAACATGGACTCTGTCTTTATAGTCCTCTAAAATCATCCGTTCTGAAAAGAGAAAGCTTTTCAGCATTTGACATTTAGACAGATACAGAAACAAAAGAAGTCAGTTGCCAAAAGCTAATGAATTACAGGATTCTTCCCATTACCTTGCTCCTGATGCAGAGTAATTACAGCTCAACGTTATCTACAGCCATCTGTGATGGTATAATGAGGGACGGATTCAAGAATATTTACTCATAATTCTGGAGCAATTTTCAAGCCACTGGTTATTGCCTTCACACTTGATTTTAGATTATTTAGGTTCTCATACTAGTTATTACTAATTTCAACCCTATGCAGCTAGAAGCACTGACCATGAAAAGGGCTTGCAGGTTCTTGGGCATTTTGTTTGTAATTATGAAAACAGACATTCTTACTTATAGTGTTAATGTTGTCCTCCCCACAAACAAGGCTGTTTGTTAAAAAGCATGTGATAACATCACCATCATCTATTACAGTTCTCTTAAGATGATGTTAATAATCTGAGAAGAGTGTGATTCATGTTGTTTAGGGCAGAGAAAAAACCCCAACAATTTTAGAAAATGTTATTCACATTTCCTAGAAGTTCCTTCTTTCCATGACTTGATCAGATAGACTCCAGATAAGAAAAATGCATTTTCCATTCCTTACTTTCTGTGACATTTGTTTTGAGTCCATAATGATAAACATACTAGCAATCAAAGGATCAGTACTCATTAAATTATAAATTCTTTTGCTTGATTACATACAGTCGACAATACCTGAGGCCCTAATAATAATAATAGTATTAAGAACTATTTCGAAATATATAAACAAGCTTTAAAACTATGTTCCTGTCCTAATGAGTTTTTAGTCTAGCAAGACAACGCCAGAAGAGGAATGAATGAGGGAACACATATGAATCTCTCTCAGATGAGTCATCAGTTAATATTATCCTACAGGAAGAAGAAAGGTTTATAGAGACCTGGAGATGGTACACTTACAACCAAGTCTGAGCAGAAAACACTGGTCTGGCCTGGGCAAGGCCTTCTAGATGTTTAAATATAGCATCAAAATAAAAACAGAAGAATGATTGGAAAAGGATATTTAATCATATGTTTGGGAGGGGAGCATGGGTCTAGAGGGCTTCATAATGTCAGTCTAGTCCTACTGAAGTCCCATCCTGGCACCTAGAGATCCTGCTGAAGACCAGAGCCATTCACTGGCACGTACTCCTCCTTCTCACTTTTCTAATGAAAATTCTTCTTATAATGCAGTTTCTTACTTCAGGAGACTTATCTTTCTGTGTACCTCTAAATCTGAGTCAAGAAAATGTAGAGTCAGGGATTATGTCCTGGTGCATTTCTGTACAGAAGCTGCAATAAAGAGACCTCAGGCCTGACTAAGACTGTTATATAACTGCAATATTTTTGAAAATAGTAAGGAAGCTCATTCACCTCTTTCAAGTGCATACTAGATTAGCAATGGAGATTGGTCCCAGTGTACAGAGTATCTCAATACCACAGTGAGGGAGACTGATGTATAATAAACTTGAAGTCAGGAGGGAAGGAATAGGAAGACTGAGAAGTCAAATTAACTCTAGAATTGGAAAAAGAGAGCATAGGCTGGACGTTGCATAACATTTTGGGTTTCCCTGTCCAATCCTAACACTTGTACTGTGGTCTCTCATTCTCTTTCTGACTAAAAAAAAATCTGTAGTGTAGGGCATATACTCATGTAATAGGAGAGAAAACAGGTCAAGTAATGTCCCAGCATTAAAAAGAGGACACACACACTCATAATAGAGCTAATTGCATTATACAGAGCCAGAAAAGAGGGTTGCAAAAACTGCTTGGAAGAAGGAATTAAGTAGGACTCGGCCACTGTGGTGGTAATGTATCAAGTGCAAAATTATCTGCTGGAATACAGAAAACAATGTGAGACTGCAAAGCCATATAGGTACTTTTGATCTGCCTACTGTACAAATGACCACAACAGGCAAAAGATGCTTCAAGCAGCGATGAAGCTACTTACATTCTATAATGCATAGGTAAGCACTGTCTCAAAATTTCTAGTTATTTTAGCAGGGTAAATTACCCCTGCATGGAGTCCAACACTACCTTGACTTGAATATTTCTGGTATCAAACCAGGTAGCTTAAAAATACATTGTCTTACACTCTGCCCTGCATATACTCGTTGGATAGTAGTTATGAACAAAGGAGACCTTTCTACTGGGTGGATCAAGATATAATTACCACAATTTCTACATAGTTCATAGAAAAAAAACAAACTAAAAAAAGACTAGCCCAAGGTTTTATATCAGCCTTCATAACAAGCAGGTAAATAAAAGCTGGCTCTGAATTGCAAAATCATACTCAGACTAATGCAGGACTGTAAGAACAGCTGAGCTACTTCTGATTTCTTCCTCATCTTGCCTGCTGACCTCTCATTTTCCATTCTCCTTGCTACTGTGGTTCTTTTATCCTTTTAGGAAGGCTTAAGTAGGGGAGCTATTCAGCCTTTCAGTATTTTTGGCTTTGTTAGCTGCTCTCCATATCCATTATCAAATGCTGCATTTTTCCTTTGTCAGATTTTTGCTTCTTACATGCTTTTTATATACAGATACAGGTGGCACATGCTCTGAGGGAACAACAGGGGAGAGCTTGCAAGAAGGAAGTAATATAAAGTAAGAGAAGGAACAGTGCTGGAGGTGAAATGATGCAGGACTGTTGAAGCAGTCATTGCTTTTGGCTTAAGGTACCAGCTTAAGAGCATTCCAGTCCCTTCATTTATACCTTTCTTTCTTAAATTATTGCTCTGCTCTTCTCATATGCCTTGCCTCCCCTGCCACTCTCTTTTTTGGTCATCTTAGAGTTCATGTACTACACAAAATAAGAGCAACCTTGATTCCTATAAGCTGCTTTTCTCACAAAATCAGTGGGCCTTTCTCTCCCCTGCTGGTTCTGTCAGAGGACAGCCACATTCCATGGCCACACATCTCAGCATGTTGGCATCTTCCTTCATCTGTGCTACTTTAGGTTACTACCTTTGAATTCATGGATTGACATCTTGTTTTCATTCCTCAACAGTTCCAAAAAGTTCCTTGATGTATCAGTGAGTAAAGTGGTGAACAAAAACCTGCAATCTGTCTCAAAGAACTTGAAAAGCAGGGACAGTGAAAAAAGAGAGACAGCCTTTTTCCCATATCCATTTAATAGATTATCTGCTTTAATCTATTAATTGTGAAGTAGTAATGTACAGAAGATACTGCTTCCTAGACAAACACTTATCAGAACATTCTAAACACCTTAAATATAAGAATGAATCAAATCCAACAAATAAATGTGAACCTTTGAAGCCAACACAGAAAAGATTTTACAGAATGTTAAATGGTATGAAGCGCTTACCGTCCTGAAGAAACTTGTTTAAGTGAACCAGCACTTTCAAACAACTGCGCTCTTGCAGCCACTCTGAAAATAAAAGCATCACCTTGCTTTATACTTCCGCCATTAATTAAATACACAAACCATTTCCCACTTTTAACCATCCAAAGACATGGCCATATTTTAAAAAATTGTTTTAATTATTCACTTCTAGAAAGAGAGGAAATTCAAAAACTGAATTTACATCCCTATTCAGCAGAATTCTTAAGGGCATAACCTAACTGGGGCTGCTGACTTCCCCATGCTCTAGTGCCTTGCTGAGTCACCAATGGAAACCTCAACATCCTATGTTTATATTGGAAATGCTTTTACTGACAGTCTGTCACTACCATGCTGGAACTCTAAGCTGTGCAGGATTCTCTGCTTAAGTAAGACACAACAGTCTGTTAAATGACTACTATGATCCCTTTCAGTTTAAAAAGTGGGAAGACTGAATGATGTCCTGCAGTATTTGGAGAATTTCTTGGTGCTCTGCAGGTCTGGAAATCACTTGTTCATGGGAAGAGAGATATCCAGGTCAAAGTCAGAATTACAGCAGAGACTTTGAAGTCTTCTAAAAGCACTGAGAAACAGTGTTAATCCAAATCTCAAAAAACTAAATTATAACCTGTATTGCTCAAAACTATCCTCCTTTCAGCATAAACCTCCCCCCCACCAAACCCCAACTGCTAGAAATCAACTATTTAACATGCAGATACTGAAGAAATTTCAGAGCAGATTTTTTTTTTATTATCCTTCCTCTAATTTTGGACTTATACAAATAAAATCTGATGGTCTTTTTGATGTAACAGCATGGACAGTAAGTAGCATTTCTGCTCCTTGAAACATTAAAGAGAGCCAGAGATAATAATACTAATCACTTTCCAAAGATAAATTTCCACCTTATCTGTAGTCTAATTAAGTCAACAGGAATCTTTCAACTGACTTCAACAGATTTTGTGCCATCTCCTTTGTTTACAATTTTAACAAAACTAGATAACTAATTCACAAATACAGCAATATTAAAATCAAGTATTCATGGATGCTTTTTCAACTACTTATGTACCTCTCTGGAATCACTTTATAGTAGACAGTACTGTAACAACACAAATCTCCATAGGGCCGTAATGACTTACACAGATCCAGGTCTTTGATAGCCATTACTTGATGCAGTATCTAATCTTAATCTTCTGCACATTTTGGGAGGCAAATCAGGGTTTGGAGGAGCCTTTAAGGTGTCTTTGGTATCTGTTGAAGATAAGCTCTGTATAGATCCACTGCAACTTTTGTTACCTAAAGAAAACAATCAAATTATAGGGAATATTAAAGCTAATTTGAAATTGTTTTACAACACATGTAACATGCAAAGCAAAGGTTTTGCTGTTGTTTTTTTCTTTTCTTTTTTTTTAGGAGTCAAAACAGGTATAGAAACTACTTACTGAGAGAGAAGAAACAGTCTTTCAGGCACTAAGCCAGGGGAGAAGAACCAACAGCAAGAATGAAGAAATGCCATTAAAATGGAGAGGATTAAAAAATTACATTGCAATTAAATGGCTAGATAGTACAATCACTAAAAAGTGACAATAAACAGATTTATAAAGTAGTACACTGCATAAAATTGTAGAAAAAATCATGTAGTAAGGGTTCTCAGGAAGTCATTTGATCAAAGCAGCATCCACCATGAAATCAGACCACATTAATTTGTAGAATTAATACTTCAGTATGCAGAGAAGCTTCATGCAGTTTAAAAAACATACTTAGGAATAAATGACCATGACTTGCTTAAAACAATTCCTATTGTAACTTGATAAAACAAATCTATAGGTGTACAGACTGTATTGCACACAAAAGAAACCCTTTCAATGAAAAAAAGGCATGGCCCCATGTATTCTTTAAGGTGGACTGCTGCCTTTTTTTGCTTATATGCTCTACAAGACAAGAAATGGATCTGCTTCTCTCTGTCTTTATTCCAAAGAACAACTGATGCTTAAAAATGCCTTAAAAGCTGTCATAATATAAACAGATCCCAAAGTATAAGAACAATATCTATATTATTATTATTGTTAATGTACAGTATTATTCTATATCATAAATTATAATTTATAGATGAACCATAGAAGCGTAGAGAGTGATCTAAATTGCAAGAAACATATCTTTTAAGCTGTGTGAACTGTGCAGGTAACAAGCAATGGAAATACGTTCTATCAGTTTGAAAACTGAAAGAACATACTACAAAAACTAAAAAAAAAATAAAAATATTAATGAGTATAATTAGCTTTCAGATGCATCTCTTGTTTTCTGATGCATCAGTTAACACTGAAGTGCTAAAAGACCTTGGAAGTTACCTTCAGTTGATGGAATTGATCTAAGGGAAGATGCTGAAGACCTTTTCAGGCCAGACAGACTGTAGGAACTCTTTTTGGTCAGGTCTGTTGGTGGAGAGGCATTCTCTGGTCCAGTGACAGAAGCTACACTTTGGCAGTCCGACTCCACATCTGTTTTGGTTGCATCCTCCTTTGATGAGGATTCTGGACTTGTAGTCCACAGGCCTGAACTTTTCTGGCCATTAGAAGAAGCAGGAGAGGCAATCCATGGAATCCCTCCGGATTTCTCCCTTGGCTGGGAGGGTGTGCATTTGGTGGTGCTGTTCTGCTCAGAGGAGTGAGAAGAGAGAGATTCAATGCTGCCCATGGGAGTGCTGTCTGGGCTACTGCTGTACGAGTCACCTAGGGAGGACGGAGGGGAGGGGGGAAAGAGAGAAAAAAAAAATTTACATTTTCTAATCATGTGCATTTTTCTCATGTCACCTTTAGCTCTTTTGTACCTTACTCGTCATCAAATTCTGTGGTTTCCTGCAGAAGGAAAACAACTCATTAATTTATTTACAACTTGAAGACTCATCTTGTTCCTTTAGAGACCATTAGTACCTTGAAAATTGTATGATTGGCTAATGCATTTTTCTGCCAGATGCATTTTCTCTAATTTTCTATAATTCCCTACCATTTGAAATCTGTATCTCTTTTCTCATGCCATACAGATTTCCTTTATTTCCTGCAATACAGTTGTGTCCATGTTTCATTTAAATGATGACTTAAAACCATCTAGTATTTCAGAAATTGCAATTGCCAGAACCAAGGCTGTCTCTTGTCTGATATTGTGATATTTGGCAAGAAGAGTACCTCTGCTTCTGCTTCAGCCTTCCAGACACAAGTAAGATCTTAACTGGAACTTGTTTACATAAGTGTTGAGTTTGAGCTAATAAGTGAAGCACAAGTGGAGAGTTCTTGGATCAGACCTAGTGGCAATCAAATCGCCAGCACGAGATGTGTCTGAATGAAGAATCATAGAAATCATAGAATCATTTAGGTTGGAAAAGACCTCCAAGATCATTGAATCCAACCATTGACAGAACACCACCATATCAAGTAAACCATAGTGCTAAGTGCCACATCAAGTTGTTTCTTGAACACTTCCACGAATGGCAACTCCACCACTTCCCTGGGCAGTCCTTTAAGTGAGAAAATTCTTCCAGATCTCCAACCTGAATGTTCCCATGTACAGTCTGAAGAAGCATAAGCTTGCATATGGTCTGCAAAGTACTTGCAGAGAAATGTCCCTTTTTAATGCTATTATTCATTCATTGTAGTTACACAGTGAAAAAATGCCTGAAACTTGACCAGTTGGCCCTCTGTTGAGTATAACTGACTGTTCCTTTGTAACTTCTTACTTGGGATCCCATGCCATTCACACTGGTAAGCCATGGGTAGGGAGTTATTGATCTCATGTAGTATTTAAACTCTCACTGGCATGAAACTTGTAACACAGACCTATGGAAAATGAAGCACCTGTGCAAGAATATATCAAGGACACATTTCCTAAAATTGCAGACTTCAGAATTACTACAGATCTTCAAGAACAGATACACCTTAACTGTGGATTAACTTACTGAACCAGTTTCATGTAAATCTTGAGGAGTCAAGGGACACCTAAGTTCTTTAGGAAGTCTGTTGCAGTAGTGGAACTGTTAGCAACTTAAACTTTTATACAGTTTCAGTACTCCTTACTGGCACAACCAGTAAGTAAAAAAGTAGTGGTCCATTAGATGAAAATGAATGAAGTGAAACTTTTTAATAGTCACATCTACATAAAAGTGAATAAGCATTCTAAGCATCAATTGATTATAGACATAACTCCCTGCTTTTAAACAGTAAGCCGTATGATATGTACACTGCTTCTTCCAGGAATATTAGAGTTTGTTTCTATTCCAGAAAACCTAACAAAGTTTCACTGGTTTTGGCAACCTAGGCAGTGGCTGACTTTGAACCAAGGGCCACAGTTTCATACATGTGAAAATAGCCAAGTGATGGGTTTGGTCTCCTAATGTTGACTGAATTACATTTGTTACAGAAGGAGAGGAAAGATTCTGTTTACAGTTTCCCAGCCTTACCCATCATCTTGCAAAGAAACGAGATGAACTTCATATAATGAACTTTTGAGTTTCAAAGTGGACTAAATTTAGATTAGAATATAAAGTCTACTTTAAAAGATGTTGAGCAATGTACACAATGCAAGACTTGCCTAAAACCGAACATTCTTCCTCATCTGAGAGAAGTGAGGAATGCAGTCAGTCAACAGTGTGGCTGTGACTCACAGGGGTTAAAAAGCTGACAAAACCCCATCTGTTATGCTTATGATTATTGAAATACAGCATCTATTGGATATTATTCAGGCAAAGTTAAAAGATAAGACATAAAAAGGAAGACAACCAGTCTGCAAGGAAAAACTTACTGTCAGGATCTGCTAGACATGGTGTATATCTTCCTTTGGGTTTACGTGAACCTGTGGAGAGACAAATGGCTCTTGTCCTTCTTGAACTTGATCGGGACTGAGGTTGGGGAAGAGGAATGTTGGGATCTGGTGCAGTGTGAAATATCTGCATGATTAAAAAAAAGGGAAAAAATGACATTAAACAGAGGTATTCTTACACTTCCATTATTAATCAATTTGTTTTCCTCACTGCTGTGCCTGAAATGAACACTGTAACAATCTCATACGTTACGAAAGAGTAAATTTGCAGAATAGAAGCTTTGCTCTGATGTCATTTAACAACTCAAGAACCACAATACTGAGCTGTACTTAGTAGGTGTACTACTTATATATTTGTTGAAATAGATTTATTTTCTAGCCCTTGTTAGAAGGGCTTTACAGTTGAAATTGTAAAACAAAATAAGTGTTTACTACTGACTATTGCCTAAGAAGTAATATATTTTTTAAAATATTGTGACAAGGTTGATTTTTTTTCTCTGTGTTCCAGTGAAAGTTTTCGTATGTCACAGAAAAATGTCATAGTTGTAACTTACTACAATCCAGTTTGCATTTCAGAAAACCACTTTATTTGGCCAAACAAGTCAAGTTTGATGAGGAACAACTTTATGTTTAAGGTATCTCCTGGTTCTTATCTTTTACATACCACTGCTACTACTGGTCAATGTTGCACTTCATTGCTGCAGAAAAAAATTTTTACCATGCTATACCAGAAGACATCTCTGCAAGGATTTCTGGACCCTCTAGCAATAGGGCATTCCCTAAAGAGAATGCAGTGAACCACAAAAAGACACCTCCATGCCATTCACAGAACTGGAAGAAAGCAAATATACTTGCACAGTAGGAAATACTTTAATGAAAATCTTGAGATGTTCTTGAAGTACATTAAAGCTGTATTAAGCACTAGTGAGTAAAACATCAACATAAAAACGTGTCTGTAGACACAGATATAGAGCAAGGGAGACTGGTTGTGCAGCAGTAGTCTTTGTATTGAATGAGCTATTATTTTCTGGAGGGAAAAGTCAATGTTTGGAAAATGCAATATATATTTTGGGAGTCAAAACCAAGAAGGCTATCAGTATCATATCCATTTTGAGGAGTCCCTATGAAATACAACTGATGATATCAAGCCATACTGTCAGTACTTACTGACCAACCAGTGCAGGGGATCCTGGTATTGACTGGGAACTGCCCCTTGGCTGAGTAATGAGTAATTAAAGAAACTCGAAGTTTTTTCACTTTGTCAGTCATCAGAGAAAATGATATAGGTCAACAGAGACCACCAAGATAAAATTTCTTTTATCAAGTAAAAGAGATCTTGACTGTTCTGCTGAGTTTTGAAATTAAACAGTTTAAAATTAAAACAAAAAATCTGAGGAGGCTTTTCAGTGAAGCTGATACCTGCAATTCATAAAATCATAGAATCATATCATCAGTCAGGTTGGAAGGGACCTCTGAGATCATCAAGTCCAACCTTTGATCCAACACCGCCGTGGTTACTAGACCATGGCACTAAGAGTCACATCCAGTCTCATCTTAAAAACCTCCAGGGATGGAGAATCCACCACTTCCCTGGGCAGCCTATTCCAATGCCTGATTACCCTCTCTGTGAGAATTTCTTCCTAATACCTAACCTAAACCTCCCCTGGCAGAGCTTAAGACCGTGCCCTCTTGTCTTACTGACAGCTGCCTGGGAGAAGAGACCAACCTCCACCTGGCTACAGCCTCCTTTCAGGGAGTTGTAGAGAGTGATGAGGTCTCCCCTGAGCCTCCTCTTCTCCAGGCTGAACAACCCCAGCTCCCTCAGCCTCTCCTCATAGGACTTGTGCTCCAGTCCCTTCACCAGACTTCTTGCTCTTCTCTGGACCTGCTCCAGCACCTCAATGTCTTCCTGAACGGAGGGGCCCAGAACTGGACACAGTGCTCAAGGTGTGGCCTCACCAGCGCTGAGTACAGAGGAAGAATCACTTCCCTGGTCCTGCTGGTCACACTGTTCCTGATACAGGCCAGGATGCCATTGGCCTTTTTGGCCACCTGGGCACACTGCTGGCTCCTGTTCAGCTTCCTGTCAATCCAAACTCTCAGGTCCCTTTCTGCCTGGTTGCTCTCCAGCCACTCTGTCCCCAGCCTGTAGCGCTGCAGGGGGTTGTTCTGGTCAAAGTGCAGGACCTGGCACTTGGTCTTGTTGAACCTCATCCCGTTGGAATCAGCTCAACTCTCCAGCCTGTCCAGGGCTCTGTAGAGCCCTCCTGCCTTCCAGCTGATTGACACTCCCCTCCCAACTTGATGTCATCTGCAAATTTGCTGATGGTGGACTCAATCCTCTCATCTAAATCATCAGTAAAGATATTAAACAGGACTGGGCCCAACACTGATCCCTGGGGGACACCACTAGTGACCGGCCGCCAACTGGATGCAGCACCGTTCACCACCACTCTCTGGGCCCGGCCCTCCAGCCAGTTCCTAACCCAGCACAGAGTGCCCCTGTCCAAGTTGTGGGCTGCCAGGTTTTCCAGAAGCATGCTGTGTGAGACAGTGTCAAAGGTTTTGCTGAAGTCCAGGTAGACACATCCACAGCCTTCCCCTCATCCATCAGGCAGGTCACCTGATCATAAAAGGAGATCAGGTTGGTCAGACAGGACCTGCCCTTCCTAAACCCATGCTGGCTGGGTCTGATCCCATGTCCCTCCTGCGGGTGCTGTGTGATTGCACTTAGGATGATCTGCTCCATAACCTTGCTGGCCACTGAGGTCAGGTTGATGGGCCTGTAGTTTCCTGGGTCCTCCTTCCGGATCTTTTTGTAGTGATTGAAAGTAAGTGTTTAAGATTTCATGTGTTTTCCTTCTCAGTATTGCCAGGGACTAGATCTCTACTGTGCAACTGACATCCCCAAGGATAGCAATGGTCAGAAAGACTCTGTTCTGATGCATTTAGAGAAGAATTTATGCATTCATCCAGAGTGAACCTCCATACACTGGTAGCATAAGAGAGATGGAGGAGCCGGGAGCAAAGTTATGACTTTCTCGTTCTGTTTCTAGATTCGGGAGGTCACAACAGTCTTCAGAAAGCAACTGAAGAGTTAGAGCAACTCTTCCAAACCATGGGAGATTACGCCTTGGATGTGTACCTTGCACATCCACAAAAGACTTGCTAGGAATACAGATCCGTAGCATGGGGTGGGAAACAGGTATTATTTCTATCAATGACTTTCTACAAATGTTGGACTCTTTATTCTTAAGAACTTAATGATGGTAATGAAAATGAGATCTTAGTTCCATTTCATAACCAAATAGTCAGATAATTTCTTTCTACCTTTTCATAATGCTCTATCAGAATTTCAACGACGATATTCTGAAACTTAATGTTCATCATAGCAGCCACGGTTTCTTCTTGGGCTCTCATCAGAGTTGGTCCAAAGATAACACCAAGGTTGGATACAGTCATTAGATTTTGCTGACTGTGCAATGATACCCTTTAAATAAACACAAAAAATATGCAATTAAATTGATTTGCTAAACTACAATTTAAACAGGCAAAAACCTAAGACTATTTTTTAACAAAATTACAAGTTCACGCCTCCCTTTTAAATACATTTTTAAAACTTCCACTTTTACTAGAGTCAAAATACAGTGTAGTACAACTACTGTACTTCCATTAAGGCTCCTATCCTGCAATAGCTTAACAGTAATGAGCACATCTTCCTAGAGTATTTCAGTTCCTGACAAAACTGATAGGAAAAGGCAACTATATTTGGAGGTCTCCACAGAGAGATCCAGACCACCTAAAGTTTAGGAGTCTTAGAGCAGGCACCTATCTCTCCAATAGTTCTACAGGAATTTAAATACTTTATGTTGGATTGATTGAAACTAGTATGTGATAACAGAGGTCAACCATATACCTTAGTTTTCATGTAAAGGAAAGAAACTTAGTTTCTGAAAATACTTATTTCGCAATGGGATCTCTTTATTAATATGATGAAAGCACAGAATCAATGGATTCAGTGAAATCATTGCTTCTATGAATAGATAACTTTAGATGATCATAATGACATCTGGCTTTGAAATATAATAACCTTTTGCTTCTGTATATTCTGTTGTAACTTATTTTACCTCTTCTTTTTTCTTCTTAATGTAGAATTCAGAAACTTAGTTTATCAGATAGAAAAATGAAAACCATCAATCAGTAATCCTCAATGCCTCTTCTTACAAATAAGATTTGCCAAATAAAAGCCCTATCATCATAAACCCTTTGAAATAACTGCCAGTGATTCCCCGGTCACAGCAGTCCTATTGCCTCATGTCTGAGGAATATTATGCCAAGTCAAGATTTTATAATTTCCTTAATGCTTAATTTTACTGCATCTGCTACCAAATGGAATTAGTTATCGAGCCACTTGTTCACACTTTCCTTTTCCTTCTCATTGCTATCTCCTACCATTGTCAAGCTGAGCATCTTCAGCAATTTCCTACACAATTAAATAAACTCTTGTACCTTTTAAAATGTAGAAACAGGGATAGGAACATTTTAGCACCCCATTTACATCAAGAAGAAGGAGAAATATGGGAAGGGGGTTTGTACTGGAGGCAAGTAAAAAAATGCCTATCTTCTTACATGTTTCCTATGTTACTTCATTAAATTATGTCAAAACTTTCTCAAATGTTACCTCAGACTAGCACTAGCAGAGATCATTATTTGGAAGCCATGTCACGAAAATTACTCCCTTGTTAAAGTACATTTTTAACCAATTATCCTAATCTAACTTTCTCTGAAACAGATCTTATGTTTGTCTTAGATGACTAAGGGGTGTTTGGGAAGTCCACCAGTATTTTAATGAAAATGGAATGTTGAATAACTCAGCTCTAGATTTGCTAAAAAAACCTTAAAAAACTGTTCTGCAATGTTACTCTTCTTTGTGCTGTACAGTAACTGTAGAGATCTGTTACACAAACATTATAGTCTTAAACCATAAGAGAGAAGTAATATTTGTCTACTGTTCATGTTTCCTTGGTAACAAATTCGGTAGCTTGGTTAATAAAAGAAATGGTAAATTTAATAACACTGTAATCAGAAAGGGCTTTCTACAAACCATTTTAAAGGTTCAGTTTCTTGCAAAAGAGAAAGACCCCAGGGCTGTAAATGGATCATTTTGATTGCCACTTTCCCCTGACCTAGTCCTACTGTTGCTGGGCTACTGCACAGACACAGGCTGAGGCAATCATGCATTTCAGGGAGGGCATTCATTGAGGTGTCATTGCTTTCTCCTCAAAATCTCCTTCTTTGATGTATCACCAGTAATTTTTTGATACTGCTGGATTGCAGACTCCCAACTATCTACCATAGAAAAGTATTGTATTATTAAATCATACCAAAGAATGATTTACTCTTTAGAGTAGATAGGTAATTTGACTACTAGGGAAGTTTAAAAACAAAAAATGAGCTACCTATGTGAAAATAACACCAAACTTCCCGTGCTTGCCTAGCTACTCACTAAGTATGTATACATGCAGTATCACCTCTTCCCTGGGTGCTTTTCAGGATTTGCTAGTTTTTGTTTGTTTATTTTTTTTCAGCATGATCTACATCTCACATCATCTAGATCATATTTAATTTTCCACACTGACATAAAATTCAAGGTAGGCAGAGACGTACAGACCTTATGAATTAAACCAAGATAAAATAATATCCTTATCTTATAACTCATAGTTAAAGGCATAGTATTTTCACCAAGATGCAAAAGCATACATAAAGGAACTGAACAGCTAAAAGAAATACATAGAAACAATGTACACTTTGAAACTGGATTTTTAACAAAAGAATGAGGAAACAGGAGGTTGAATTTTTTTTTTCAAATTTTTTCATTTTCATAAAATTAGGTGCTTCACCTGTCATTTGTTCCTTGAAAAATCCCCGCACAGTGGTAGGAAAAAGATGAGTAAGGAAGGTGACTCATACACTCAAGAGACTTATTTTGAATTCCGTCTCATTAGAATTGCTAGCATAAACAACAACTGGTAAATTATATGAGAAATTAGAAGGGGTGAATTGAATGTTGGAAAGAAACTACTAAAAGCATTCAGTGTCAAACCAAGATTACATTTACAGGAAATGAGAATCACAAGATGACACAGGCAAGAGTTAAAGAGAATAATTAAACAGAGGAATACTTCAGGTGTGCTTTTCTTTGGAATTGCATCTGAGTTTACACTGAGAATAAAGAGGCCATGAAAAGAGGTCAATGCTTGCCTAACACTAACTTTGACTACAAATAAGTCAGTTCCTATGCATATATCTCTCTAAGTTTGAGGCTTCCAGACCAGTAGCTTTTACAAAACTGTTAAGCCCTCATTAAATGCTTTCACTTTTTAGGGGGTTATAAAGTAATAGGTATTATAGTGTTTAGCTAATCAAACAATTCTCTGAGTAAGGAAACTTAGGAAACTTTTTTCCATCTGGTTCTCTGCATCACCCCAACAAGATGCAAGGTCTGCCTTTTTGCAATGGAAGCATGCACAGCAGCTTGCTATCATGTTAGTTATACAGGGGCTAATGACATAAAGGGCTAAAAATAATTTTTTAGGGCTAAATAATTTCCTGTCAAATAAATTTTCGAAGTTCTCATTTCTATAACAGGAAGCAAAACTGCATTAGTCTCTGCTGTAAACAGCTTACTGTAAGCTGTGGCTCAAGCTGTGATCAAAAAAGCAAAACAGTTGGGATGTAGTGAATGGAATGAAAATGATATGGACTCCTCTCTTATGTCTTCTACATATCTCAGTCATGTGTACTTTAACTGAACAACTCCTGCTTCACTATTTACACTCCCAGATCACTGACAAATGTACTAAAAAGTATAAAGCATCCTAAATCAGAAAGAATAATGCATATTAAAAAGTATTCAGCAAATACCATTGAAAACTAACTATAGGTTTAGAAAATACACAAATAACATTTAATGTAGAAACAGGATAAAGTAAAATGCAATAATGGTATGTAATGACAGCTAGTGATACAGAGAGACATAAGAGAATAAAAAACTGTCTTTTTTTGTTTCACAGCATATGCCAAGTGTAATTCAATGAAGACAAAAGGTCATTGGTTTAAAGAAATGCAAAATCTTTTCTATCTGACAATTAATACTTCAGGTAGTGTTACGGGAGATTCAGAACTGGGGCATTTATATAAATATCAAAAATATAAATAATAATACTTTAAATTAGTGCTTTCAAATGTTACTGCACTTCAGAGTTGTTAGAGAGAAAAATAAGATCAAATGTGAAGGACGAGTATTATCACATAGGTCCACCTCTGTCATGAAACAGTGTGAGACTTTGAGACAGATTCAAACCAGCATTTTCCATCAACCTTGGCATAGTTTTAGATGTTTCTTGAATTTAATTAGTTATGAGTCCTGTAGTAAGTAGGAACATGAATGAAAAACATTGACTGGGTTTATTTTCAGAACATAGTTAGCCATCTTGGTGACTCTATGATTTTTAACTCTCTATTTTTTATTCTGTTTCTACAAAGTATTATTCAAGTTAAGATGAGAACAGCATTTTAGAAATTAAATGTAAATTCAAGTGGCATTGTTTCAACACAGAGAACAGATTAAGCAACACTGACAAATTTAAGCAGAAATAATAGCATCTTATAATAATATCAAAGAGAAAAATAAAAAATAATTACTTGACCAAGTGCTTAATAAGGATGTCCAGCATCTCTCTGTTCTTCTCTGGTAACTTATGCACAAGTGCATGCACTGCCTCAACTCTGTAGTTCTGATCATCTGACTCTATTAAACAGAAAACAAATTGTTAATAACTCAGAACATGTGCTAAGAAGTGACTACAAATGGCATCAATGCCTGTATGCTAACATAAACATGCATTAAGAGAAGCCAAACACAATTAGCTTTCAAAATGATGAGGACAATTTGATTATATTTATTACATTCTGAAATCTGTATTTAAACTAATTCATCTAAAGCAATTACCACGAATACTGGAATCAACAAAATTAATGGCAATATAGACCCGATGTGCCACTTCAGTGAAATCTAAGCTTTCGCTTCTTGATTTTTAAAATATCTAAAGTTCTTCAGTGTCTTTTATTCTTATCAAGACAAGAGGAAATGGGGAAATAACTTCAAATTCTAAACTGAAGTCATTAGAAAAACAGTATCTCCTGTCACTTGATCTAATTACTCCATTTGTTGAAAGGAGATAATTATCGCCCCTTCTAATTTTTCAAGGCAAGCTGGGAAAAAAAAGGTCCCTGGATGAGAGGGATCAATGTTATAATATAATTATCAGCCTATATGAAACAAACAAACATCTAAATCAAGGTTCAAAATTTCATGCAGAAGGCAGTCACACATAACCACTAAAAAGATCAGAACAAACCACTGAACAGCTTCATCTAGTGTGACTTCTCTGCTTTGAGGGCTGGATCACTGAATAATAGAGCAAGGAGAAAAGTAAAGATAGTGACTGGGGAGATCGAAGTTTAGAAACAATATTACTTTCACAAAAGTGTTTTTTTCACTTTACTTACTAACAGCAACAATGAAATCTTTGTGCAGCTTGAAAGTCATCAGTGGTTCTGAAAGACACCTGGTTGTAAAAAAACATATTAAAAGGTTATTTAAAACAGACTCAAAGTCTTTTTAAGTTTTATGATTGTGATCATGATAGCCCTCAAGATCTGCACAATGTCCTATTGGACCTAAGAAACCCAATTCAGTGATGACTGATTACAAGTAGCATACAACTTGGTCATGGACATAGTCTGAAAATCAATGAGTTGAATCTTACGTCACCACGTAAGTTACTGAAATGTTACTGGTACTGACTTCAGCACAGAGGTTCACTGTTTCCTGTTTTAAATATAGGTGCAGACATGGTATAGCGGGCTGCAGAATCAATATTTTGTCCAAGAAAGGCAAAAACATGATGAAATTTGAGACTGAAATTCTGATCTGAGAGATCCTAAAAGAGTCAGCCTCTGAAAGGCAGACTGTGAGTTGCCTTATAGAGACAAGCACACAGCTACTGCTTCCTGCCTCATGTTCTAATTTCACAAACACAGTATCTATGATGATTTGTGTGTCTGAAGATGTATAAGTTTCTTCAACCAAAAGCACTCTTCTCAATGAAATGTACATGAGCATTCCACTATAAATCCTAGGCATATTTTCCACAGTTAATAGAGATTTCTGATGCTGACTTTTGTTAGGTGATTGGTTTAGGAAGTCTAGATTTTTAGAAGGCATAGAACACCCACCATTTAGATTGGATACTTTTCATTGTGGTTTTTTTGAACATTATATATTGAGAACTGAAAGAGTTATCTTAGAAGTACCATAATTTCTGAATATTCTGTTTCTTATCAGCAAAAATGAAAGTGTTGGAGGGTTTTATTTTGTTTATGAACAACAGCATAAGATAAAAACCTGTGTTTTGCTGAGATTTTTATTCTGCTCCAACAATGATGTCATGACATCTTGTGGTACACAGCTTAAGGGATTCAGAAACAAAAGACTGAGCACAACATGCTTTGTGGTTAACATAAAAAAATTTAAATAAAAACATGCAATGAATTAAATTCTGCCAAATTTAGGGCTATATAAACCAAAACTATCTTAATAAGGTAGAAAGTGTGTATTATTACGCATAATCACAGGGATATTATGCAGGACAATAATATACTCAATTATCACCATGCTAATGGGTACAAGAAATGTAATATGATAATAATAAGCAAAAGACTAATGGGCAGAAAAGGAATACTGAGACTGCGTAGGATCATACTTACCTGAGGTAGTTTTTTAGTCCGCTTGTTATTGTTTTATTGTCCCAAAGTTCCATATCAATATCCATATCAGGAGGAGATTTAGGGGCTGGTAGAAATTTGAATTATGATTGTGTTATAGTTTGACTAACACAATAACTAGAAAACCAGCAAAACAGAAGCTACTAAATTAGCCATTTAGCTCTAGCAATCACTTATTAGCCAGACTAACTACCAGTCTGATCAGTTTGAATCTTTTAATCTCTGGTAAAGTATTAATAAAAATAAATTTAGCAGTCATATTTAGTAACTGCAAGTATTAGCTTTATGCACTGTGTCAAAGTGAAAGGCAAGCCCAAGTGCACAGAGAATTACTAATGTGTTTGCCTTAGAGTGCCAAATTAGCAAGAAAAGTGAAAGACTGGAAAAACTGTCTATTAAGCTAAGTCATGATGTATTATGGAACTAAGCTTTGGAGAACTTCTGAAACATGCCAAATATAAATCAACAAAAAGAACTTTAAAGATAAAAGAAGAAATGCATTTTTATTTGTAATTTGCTCATGTATAAAATGCAGAAGTGAATACTACTGTACACAAGAAACTAGTTAGAGATGAAGCACTCATTTTAATTAATTGTAAATTAATTTAGTGGCAGTAAGAGCGCACACAAAATTGTAAATATCATGACACACTCTTCTGAGCACAGCACTTAAGGCAAAAGGACCACAGTGCACACACTGCACACTGACAAAGGTTCAGTTCAGATACTTACAAAATACGGTATTCATCAGCTTCTGCACCTTGGAATTTACACCACCTATTCTGTACAATCCCAGGATTGTAATACCTATGTTGGGAAAACAAGTAAATGAAAATAATGAAAATATGGTTATTTCAATATACACTGATGTATCCTTGGTGTACGTTTTCAGAATATCTAAATGTGTTTATGGAAAACTGTACCATTACATTCTTGAGTACTGTGTTGTTGAGTACTGAATTCTCTTCTGGGATAATAACAAATGCATTCCACTGAATTCACATCACATTATACATTAAGCATAATTTTACATTAACAGAACCCTTCTGCATGGAAATGACACATATTACCAAACAACAAGGTAATGGCTAGGAAAAGTGAAAAAATAAGGCCCAAAAGCAGTCTGAAAACACATTACACATCAACAAGTTTGTATCACCTAGAAGTCAATGGAATTACTGTGCATCTATGTTTGCTTAAACCACCATCCCTTCCAGTTAAGATCTGACTGACATTTATAAGAGAAATGATTGTACTTACTGTAATATGAAAATAAAAACATATACTGTATACTGTTGCAACACATCAGTTGAAAATTTATAGGTTACCTATAAGTTACAATTGTTGTTCTTTTTCTTAATAGCACAGATAATAAAAAATGTTTCAAGAGTAACATTTGCAACACAGTAATCTAAATATTTAAATGATGATAATTTTATTGGTTTTAACTGCCTTTTAAAATCAGCAGGATTTAAATGTCTTCCATTCTCCTCACTTCAAGCCTTACCATTTAAAAATTGCCTAATTTTTCTCTGAAAACAACATTCTAAAATCTGACCTCTCACTTAGATAACCTAGGTGTTTGGTTTTCAAACATTCTTTTTACGCCTCATTCCCCTGGAAAAAAATGCAAGCTCTGAGTCAGCAGTGATTTAAAAGCTACATAACACTGTTGACTGAGAAGCTGAACTCATGTTGAGCTCAAGATTGCACAGAGACCACATTTGGATTACTAAGAGATCTACACACTGAAAGTTCAAAAAAAGGTTATCTCATTTTATGGGAGATGATATAGCCACACCTCTCCATTTGGAAGGGGTAATTTAAAAATTATTGTAGTTGTAAAATATCACCTCATTAGCAGAGTGATTATTACTTCCTTATTGGATATTATCACTACCAAAAATGAGTTGTAAACATTTAAAAACAAAATAACAAAACGTGTGCAAAATTATAGGAGTTATGCTCTGAAAAAAACCAGATTTACCAGTAGAGAGTACTGAAGCCCCTTTTCAGTATTCAGGTTTCATGCCTGAAACCAAAGTTGGGAGCTGAGACTCCTTACAGTTTTTATCACAAGAAAACACAATTCAGTGCACACACACTAAAGATTAAGGATGTGAGCAAATGTGTATAAAGCTGTCTAATCAACAAGAAATTACAGAAAATGTTTAAAAACCTCACTTAAATGGTACGTTACGAACTGTTGTTGGAACTTGTGGCAACAATTTTGAGTTGTAAACTGGGAGTGTAAACCACACAGATAAAATGTGGAAAGTCCAAAGCAAATGATGGACATACTCCAAAGCACAGTTGTAAAACATGAAGAATTAATCAAAGTAATATTTCAGAAAAAGAAATCATAATAATCTAATACATAATTTGTGATTAAATACACACCTCTTGTTTCTACAGCATGAATACATTTCCTCACAAAGTTGAAACCTGCTTCATTTAAGAACACTACAAAAAAAGAAAAAATGGTAATTACTTCCTAACATCAATACACAAAATCTCTCTGTTTAGCTACATTCACATATTAGTCAAGGGCTGATACACATTTATCCATAAGGTTATGATACTCATTCTGTAATAGTATTTCTGTAGATAAATCCTTAGCATTCAAATCCAACTTTCTAGTCGTTAGTGCATCTTTAGAAGCTTAATATTCTACTGTCTTTCTCAGAAATCAGTAGCTCCTCTAAACATACAGCTGAAAGCTTGTGGCTTTAAAAGGAAATTACTGTACTCCTCTCTGCTGAGCAAAATGCTTTTAAGAGTTCAGGATTTACATTATGAACAGAATATATTCATTGGATTTAACACAACAAGATTCCCTGTTCTTTACACACCACTCATAAGATGGTAACATAGGAAAACAATCCTTGTTATTGACTTTAATTAGTGGGTTTATTTCAAGTGAATATATTTCTCATTCATTTTCTATCTTCAACACCCACTGCTCTAACTAGCTAAACAAAGAAGAAAAATAAACTGTCTAAATAACTACTTAAATAAAGAAAATCATAAACAGCATATTTTTCACCATTAAGAAAAAACAGGTGCATTTGCTTAAATATCAGATTTTCAGTCTCAAATACACCTCCTATTAAGATGTATGTCCTAATCTGACAAATCTCTCTCTGAGATACATACACCCACATATATATTTAAATTATTTTTACATATTTAATAAAATATGATGTTAATAACAGACGTACCAATATAATATTAATACAATTATGCACTTGGCAGTGCTGGTTTAATGGTTGGATTTTATGATCTTAAAGGCCTTTTTCAACATAAATGAGTCTATGACTCTATATAAGATATTATCTCAGCACAGTGGTATGTATTTACATTTAGATTTACAGACTACTGACAGAAAATTAAAAGATTTATTAAATATATTGTAGCTTTGGAGGCACTCAAATTTTTTTCCAGTTTATGCTTGATAGCAATACAAAAGTTGAAGGCTGTCTCATAGTTTACATAGTTTAGGATGTGCTTTTGTGTAACCAAATCACTTAATCCAACAAAATTACTTCACAGCAATAGAAATAAAACATGAAATAATTAGTACCTCTCTCCCACACATATATCAAGAAACTGGAACATTACAGAAATCTAGCAGTATTTGGTAACTCAACAAAAAAAAAGCTTACTTTCTTCCTTCTTGCTAATAATGGCTGGTAGTGTGTAGATCTGTTAAAAAAACCAAACAAACAACAACAACGCAATAGGACAATAATTGTACTTTAAATTCTTTATTGCCAGGTTTGTTAGTAGTTGCTGCATGCTGTGCATCAGCTTGCTGTTAGGGAAATGCCAACTCTGCCTTTCACCATTTCCTGATGTTTACCACTCCAGCACACACCCGGGTTAACAGCCCGTGCTACTATAGGCAACTAATGCATTAGAAGTAAGATTTACAGAGTCCAAGTGGGTTAAATTTCAATACTACTAGCAATCCAATTTCTGTAGTGGTTCAGTCAGGCAAGAAGCATGTAAAAACACTCATTTGTCTAATAAAACTGATCAACCATTTTTTTCCTATCAGATACAGGTCTGACATCACCTTCATTCAGTGACTACTTTAAGGGTAGACAAATAGCGGGAAGAAAACTCAGACAAGCCTGTCTCTCAGTAGCTTTCAACACATTTTTCTGGTCTCTGCAGTGCCTTTTGAGATGATAATTGTTTACTCCACGACACTGCCCAAAAGATGGTTGCTCTTTACTACTGTAATAACTACAACTTCACATAATTTACCTGCACCATGAATCCTATTACTATGCTAGTCTATTACTTAAACTATTATTACTTAGAATATCCTATCATAAAATAATGATATATAACTGTAGGCTTAAATTAATAGTTCTCCTTTTCTACTTTGTACCTATTTTCACTATGTACTTGCAGTAGTGTCTCACAAAGAAAAGAACTGTATTTGCTGGTATTGCAACAGAGTATCTGAAGTTTATACTAGCTTCTTCTTTAATATGTGTGCCATAAAACCGTAAAATGAAAAGAAAATTAAAAAATATCCGTACCGGTTCCTTTCCATCCATAGCTTCGAGCCAAAGTTTTCGGTTGGATTCTGAAAAAGCTTGCAGTGTGATGATTCCAGGTCTGTCAAAAACACACACATTCAATGAAATTACTACTTTTCTCAAACAGTTTCCAAAGTTAGAATTCAAATGCATATTGACATGTGAATACATAAAAGACACAGTAGTCAGAGAAAGTTGACAGTTTCTGACATAACAGAATAATTTTGAGGTAGATATAAAAGAGGTCTGTTTTCTAAAAGTTTGGCAACAGTCATAAAACATTTTTTAAGACATCAACTACAAAAGTCAGTCTATTTATCATATTTTAACAACAAAAATTAATTCAATATTTCTCTATCTCTGAGCTTGGAAAAAATACTTCTACAAACTACTGTATACATATAGTTTAAATACAGGAAAGCTGTTTTCATCTATCTAATATAATAATAATACCCAGGAATAAGTAAAAAAAAAGTTATAGATGTAATTTTCAAGAATGAAAAACAATGTGCTATCATACATTTCTGAATGAAATAGACCTTTGAGCAGAATATGCTTATTAATAGGTATTTATAAAAATATGTATGATCTGTTTATAAAAGAGGATAGTTTTCCTACAGGTTCTGTAAGAACCTGTCTTGTATCTGCACGCAAATATAATGTAGTAAAGACAACACATACACAATGTGACAAATTTTGTTAGAAAATCGTGTTTGAACAAAGAAGTATTAAGTCTTGAAAGCCTAGTTTGTCTGCATACAAACATATTGTTTCTGCATACAAACATATCTGTTTCTTTTACAGGAGTAATTATTATATATTGGTTATGATTATTTTCAAATTGTTAACACTGAAAACAATTCAAACCTCTCGTATACTTCAATATCGAAACAGAAACGTTTGTCAATTGAATCTGTCTTTCTCCTGATGCAAGATTTTAGCTTGAACATTTCTGGTGAGCTTGTGACAAGGCCATTCTACAAAACAAAACAAAATGAAATTAGCAGAGGCAGTATGCTTATATAACTTGGCTTCACATCTTAAACTTAACCATATGAACAGTCAAAACATATCTTAAGACAGGGACTGAAATTATTTAGGAGCATATACAATATACACTATTTTTTCTGTATATAAAGTAAGACAGCAGTTAATAGCTTTTTTTCATGTATTTGTTATTTAATCATTATATTTCAGAAAATTCCCTAAATTCAAAACTTATAAAATCATATAATTCTGCCAACTCTCACATGCAGATAAAAAGATTTATGAAGAATAAAGCTGACTAACTCCTAATTCTGGCTACCATGATCATGAGACCTCTCTATAATGTTGGCAAGGCTGACACAGTTGGGGATTCTGAGTAATGGGAGGAAGCAAATGTCACTCCTGTCTTCAAGAACAGCGAAGAGAAGGATACAGAATCATAGAATCATTTAGGTCGGAAAAAGCCATGACTAAACCATCTACATGTCTTTTAAATACCTCCAGGGTTGGTGAATCAACCACTTCCCTGGGCAGCCTGTTCCAATGCTTGACAACCCTTTTGGTGAAGAAATCATCTGTAATATCCAATCTAAATCTCCCCTGATGCAATTAGAGGCCATTTCCTCTCATCTTATGGGGAACTATGGGACAGTCTGCATCACCTTTATCCCTGAGAAAGTGATGAAGTAAATAATCATGGAGAGCATTTCTGAACATATTAAGGGAACAAAGGTTACTGGAAGTAGTCAGCATGAATTTAATGAAGGAAAATCATGCAGGATCAACTTGATAGCCCTCTACAATATGATGGATGGCTCAATCTATGATGGAAGAACAATGAATATTGTTTATCTCAACTTTAGCCAGGCTTTTGACACTACATCCTACTATATCCTCATAGACAAGTACAGGTGGAGCACAGCCTAGGTGGTAAGGTGGACGGAAAACCCTCTGAACTGCTGAGCTCACAGCAGAAGTCCAGCCGCAGACAGTGACCAGTGCTATGCCCAAGAGGTCAGTACTGGGGCCAGCAATGTTAAGCATAAATAGTGATAAGCCCAGGTACCATGACAGGTAGAAGCTGACAGAGCGGAAAGCAGCTTGGCAGAAAAGCTTGGACTGCACCAGGCAAAGCACTGCCTGCAAGTGGAGGAAGAGGTGATCCTCACTCGCCATTCAGGACTGATGAGGTATACATGGAATGCTGTATCCAGTGCTCAGGTCCCGGGTACAAGATGGACAGTGAGGTACTAGAGCAAGTTCAGCTAAGGGCTACCAAGGACTAAGGACTTGGAGCACAACTAGCTGAAAGGAGGCTCTAGTGTGGTGGAGTATCTTTTGCCATGTCTCAAAGGAAAGTATGTGAGAGAAGGCCTGAAGTCGCATCAGGGGAGGTTAAGATCAGCTATTAGGAAGACCTGAAGTTGCGTCAGGGGAGGTTAAGATCAGTTATTAGGAAAAATTTTTTCAGAGTGGTTAGGCATTGGAATAAGTTGAAAAAGTTGCCCATGGAGGTGGTGGAATCACCACCTCTGGAAGTGTACAAGAAGAGTCTGGATGTGGCACTTGGGGATGTGGTTTAGGGTGATTATGGTGGTACTGGGTTGGTGGTTGGAATAGATGATGTTGGAAGTTTGTTCCAACCCTGATGATTCTGTGATCTGTCATATGAGAAGAAGCTGAGAGAACTGGGACTGTTCAGCTTGGAGAAGAGGGATCATATCAGTGATTAATCTACAAATACCTGATGGGAAGGAGTGAAGAAGACTGAGTCAGATTCTCCTCAGTGGTGCCCAGTGAAAGGGCAGAAGGCAATGGGCACAAACAGAAATACAATTAATTCCATTTCAATTTAAGAAAAAGCTTTTTTATGGCAGTCAAACACTGAAATAGGTTGGTCACAGAGGGTTGTATCCTTGGAGATATCTAAAACCTGACTGGACACAGACCTCACTAGCCTGTACTGGTTGACATTGCACTGAGTTTAAACTAGAGATCTCCAGAGTCCCCTCCCAAAACTCATCCATTCTACGAATCTGTGCAAATGCAATTGATTTCCTACACATTTGCAATGACCACATTAGAGAAGTTAGTTAATATGAGGCTTATATATGTTTTAAAAGAAATATTACTTAAAAATTTATCCATGCGTAATAAGACATGCACTGCTTCATCTATGAAAACAGCCTTATGCTGTGTTCATATTTTTTTTCTTTAACAGTTCTTAAATGCTTAATATAAAAGATGGAATATATAGTTCATGTATGTATCATGTATGTGCAACTCACCACTTTTCCACCAGATTTGGCTTCAGCTATACTCATCGTAAAAGTTTTTGTTCCTTTGTCATAAGTGCAGTAATGTTTTACCCATGTAAATCCAAGAGGTCCTAGAGTAAACAGAGATAGTATTAAAAGTATTTGTTTTAGCATTTTATCGCTATTTTAGTTGCAGTTAGCAGAGAAAAATAAAACAAAGCAGCATCCACATGTAGCCTACAAAATCTAAGACTCTCTTAATTTTTTAATCTGAACATGTTGTTCAGGTATAATTTTCAAACACTGCAGCTTAATAAGGTTGCCCAATAAAGTTCCAGCAGACTGATTTTCTTTGGCAACTGGATAGGTAACTGCATTTTATTAGGGTAAACAGGCAGGAAACAGGAAAGAACAGAACTTGAGGATTTTTCTGGCTAGGAAATACAGTTGAAGATTTTATCAACCCAAGTGAAACACAACTCAGTATTACACACTTTCTCTGAAGGAAACCTTGAAGTCTGTTATTAAATGCAGAAAACTGGATGAACTCATAAAATTGGAGTGCATTTTCCTTTATTTTCAGAGTTCCTGTCAAAGGTAACAAATACTCGTGGTACTGTCATACAAAGGTTATTCTTCTACCTGTTACCTTAGGGTAAAATGGCATTGGCTCAGAGGTAAATTTAATCTTACACAATTGAACACTGACAGGAGATTTCATTATATGAAAGAAAGCAAAGCAACTGCGCAGTCTAAAACAACATTGGTTTAGAGATGAAGGGATAAAGCGGGATGAGGGTGGCGGAGGTGGCACCTCCAGCAAGAAACACTGGCCTTTTATGCCTTGGAGGGGGTCTTGCTGGGGAAGAGGTGACTGTAGCAGTGGTGCATAATGACCATGTCCACAAACGGAGAGTTGCACATGCTCACAATACCAAAGTACACTGTACTTAGGGATTCAACACTCTTCCTTTTAGATGGCCACAAGTGAAATCTACAACAATCCCCAGGTGGATGTGTGCCTGATCCTGGAGAGGTCACATCACACTACTTCTTAATCCTACTGCAAAGCACAGGATCTCTGATGCAGAAGATATTTTCACTCCTGGATTACCTAGAGTTTTGTTCAGGCACTGCTGTGAATCTAAACACAAAACCCTCTTGATCTTAAGCTCAATGGTATTTTAAACTTGGTCTATGCTAATGCAGCTTAGATACAGGCATTTATAATGTGTTCTTCACTGTGAGGTCATGGAGTAAATTCTCTCACCATTTCGAGAACTCTCTCCACATCCTAGAAATACAGCTAAGATCTCCCACATTTTTCTGGGAAAAAAAGTTTAATGTAGCAGAGGAAAAACACAGGCTCCCAGATTCTTACAGATACGTCTGGAGGGGTGATGCACTTCAGAGGACAGGATAATTCAAGTTTTTGCAGTGTGCTGACTGCTCCCCCTTGGGCCGGAACATTATGGCTATACCCGCACTGGTTAATAAACAGTGATGGCAGCATTTACCATGACTAGGTAGCACAGGTAACTTGGAAAAATATTTTTGATTTTTAAGAATAGGAAATTTAGCACAGAGGGTGGGATATTTTGTCCAAGATTGTCTCAGTGGCAGGGAACAGTTCCATTTATTTTACTAGCATTGACACAGTTTGAGTACTCAGCTCCAGAGACCAAACACATTGGCTACATGAAGACGTAACAAGAAGGAAGAACACTTCTTTCCTCTTGGACAGTATTATGCTTCAGAGCCTAGCATTATAATATGGCCCCCTTCTGCAAAGCTATAACAAATGGAGGTGTCAAAGCAGAGAAAAAAACACATATATATATAAAATGCAGTATTGTAACTTTTGTGTAAATTCTGAATAGAAAAGGACTAGATGAGACTTTCAACCCACATGTGATTTTCCAATTCATTTCAATGAGAGTTAGTCATGGGAAAAACATGACATTGATTTTTTTCAGACTACCGTATGTATGGATCCATTAATTCTTTTAAAAACGTGTCATGATTTAAGAATGGCATTCTCCAATTTAGCATTCCCACTGAAATACTCCAAACCCATGCGCTGCTTGCTCACTCCCCGTCCTTCCCCCTAACTCCCCTGCAGAGGGATGGAGAGGAGAATTGCAGGAATGAAAGGTAAAGATCACAGGCTGAGATAAGAACAATTTACTAGAAACAGCAATGAAATAAGAAAACAAACAGTAATAGCAACAGTATTAATAACAGAGTGGTCAAGAGGTAACCAATTCCTGTGTGAGTGCTCATCACGTGGAAACACCAGACAATACCTGACTGCTTCTTCTGCCACACTATGTGACCCAAAAGGGATCCCTTCCCATCTCCCTGGAAAATGACATAAGGTAGTATACTATAATCTCCAGGTCCTATCCATACCTTTCATGGATAACTAAAAAAACTAATCCTGCCCTGGCCAGAACCAGGACAAAATGAAAGAGCTTTAACCTTAAAAAATGTATTTTAAGGGGTTTAGTTTTTTTAATGCAAAGAGTTAAATAAAAATGGAAGGTGTTGAAAACAAATCTAGTAGTTTTACTATAGATACAGTGGCTTTGCCTTCTAAATGTAGCCACAAAGGTGATGGTCATATGATAGACTGCATCAATCATGTTAGCTGGATGTCTGACAATTCAGAAATGTAGATGTGGGAATTTACAAGGACTGCTATGTTGACTTCAAGAAAGCTCTCCCATTGCCTGTGTTTTGGAGGAAAGTAACATCATGATTCAAAAAGTCAACTGGTTATGCACCCACAGAAGTTAGCTGTTCTGCTCTTATATTTTATTTCCACTTAGCACAACAAAATCTGTAATTATTCTGAATCAATTTTTTCACTGATGGCAATTCATTCTCTCTTTTAGCGTATATAAGAAGGCTGAGCACTCTCAAAGCAATTTTCAGTTGTAGCCAGTACCATTTTTTTCAAAAATTACCACGATGTATATCAGTAATAAATACATATAGAATTTACTTTCAAAAATAGCAAACATTTAACCCAGTGACCCACAATTTGACAAGAACCTATAGGATGACAGTTGTAGGAACATAAACTTGCATGACAAGGAATTATACAACTAGTACCTTCCCTACTGCACAGTGATTACAGATCCTCTCACTGTTATTCCAGAATAAACTAATAAACCAATGTCTTTTCAGTAAGAGGATGTCAAGTTGGCCTCTCACTATTTAATGAAGCACAGCATGTGCCCAGTGCTTCACTGCTTTTCACCTTCTCCCATTAGTAAGGCTCTGGTCCACTTAACACAGGTTTCTTTTATGATTATTACTCAATTAAAATATAGAGGGTCTTCTTAAAACTTTCAGTGCTACTGAGGGTAAAAGCGGATGAGGTTAACTAATATAAGACTTTATTTAGATGACTTTTCTCTTACATCACTGATTCCCATTAAGTGTATGCTCATTTAGTCTTAAGATGGTTGGGTCAGTGGAGATCCCTGGCACAAGATGCTCCTGATGTCTCAACTACAGGCCCTGTTCATGCAGGGAAAGTCTAGGTGACAGGAGGGAGTCAAAGCAGAGTTCTGGGAGCTTGCAGCAAGGCACAGGGCAGCCAGCCAGCCAGCCACTGGGGCAAACAACAGCAAGGACCTTCCCACAAGGATCCAGAGAGCAGGAGTTGAGTTGCTTACAAGTGTTTTGATTACCATTCCATCTGACTGTAGCTACTCTGAGTGCTTTTTGAAAAATCAAACCCTTATTTTTCTTTTAAACTTTTCAATCATTAGGAAAGTAACTAGAGCAGAAGCCTGCAGCCATTCAAACACAGAGCCGTTGATTTGTCCTGCTAACTAAACCATATCCTTGTTCTCGCCTTTCAAATCAAATCAAAAGATACATCTGTTGTACTCACGTTTCTCCTGCACATAGAGATAGCCTTCCATTGTCCATTGACTTGGTGGTCTGTAATCCTGGTTGGCTGATTTCATTCTTTGCATGAGTCTCTCCACTTCCTGCCTAGTGCTTTCAAAGTTATTCCGAGTCTAATACCCGGAAAAGGAAACAAACAAAACCCCACATTATCTCATACAAGTACAGAAACAACAATGAAGAACTAATTATTAATAATGCCAAATAGACTGTATCAGAGACCAACAGAAACATTTCCCTGAGACATAAAAGGAAAAAAAAAAGGCGATAAAGAATAACACTCTTCACTTCTAGAAGCCTAGGAATAACATACTAATGAAGAATTCAACTTAAGTACACAAGTGTAAAGGAAATGTAGCTGAGAATAGCACCATTCCTCTTTCTGCAGGTCACTAACCTCAGACAGGAGCCATTTCATATCTTTCAGTATGCTTACACAGTATTTTGCAGACAGATGTAGGCTTTCTCTCTGTATACTCTAGGATTCTCAGACAGAAGCCTGGCTAAACTAGAAGCTGCTGACAGCTTATTCTGAAACCTGAAGTAATAAGACTCATTGAACCACCTGAAGCACAGTGCAGAAAACACTAGTTTGGGTTAAAGCCAGGCTAATGTATCCAGACAGCTGTGATTTCTCCATACATGGAAGCGACAAATGTACTGTGTATCCATATCTGCAGCAATACCACAAGTGCTGATGCTCAGAACAGTCAGGTTATTGGCGCTGTCATGAATGTTTTTTGATAGGACTATGCAAACACCATAGTTTAGTATAACAAAAATATGGTATGTAAGAAACAGTTCACAAATGGCAGAACTGTGCCGAAAGCATGGAAGTACTGTTTCTATCCTAAATATCATGTGTATAACCGGGCATCTTGCAAAGGAAACAATTACAGCACTAAGATGTGTTTTCCATACTTCCTAATACCTATATGCATGTGAATTCAGTGAGGCTAGGGTTTCCCTCCCTGCACCTAGCATGGTATAGTAGAGGAGAATTATTGTGAGGTGCCAGAGGTTTGATAGGTTGTTCTTAATATATCAGATATTGAACACTCTGTTCCTACAGGTCATAGAAAAAAATAAAGATTTCGGTAATGTTTCTACAAAATCATCTATGGACTCTAATCCTGACTAGTCAGAAAGATACTCTCAGGACTTCATACATCAGTGAATACTTTCCACTTTTCACGGGCCATTCATGCAGTTAGATGTGCTATAGTATAATAATACATGTTTAATCTCCTTTTTGAAGACAAACATTATTATTAGGGAGGAAGTAAAATTCTACTCTTAACTTTTCAGATTTGAGACCTTTGAGAGGGACATGTCATTGAAGGAATGTTCCCATGTTGAGAGCTTATGTCTGTCTATTAAGTCCTTAATTACTTTTAAGCAGCCAGGTCTCTGAATCAAATTATAGAAAACAAAGCCAAATGGACATATAAAGTACACCACTGGCCAGCTGAAACAGTTAAAGTGACAACAGGTCACGTTAGAACACCACTACTCTCCTACTCCTGTGGCTGTTACCACTCCTGCTCTAACCAGTACGACATATTTAAGAACAGAAACAGCGGTTCAGGTCAACTCTTCTCCAAGACCTGAACACACAATGCAGTGGTGAGAAGTACTTTTGGCAGCTTTAACAGACAGGCTGAACACAATTTTCCCTGTCTGCAGTTTGTCTTTCCCTATATAAATTGTTTCACTTCAGTCTGAGGTTGGGTGATGCTATGAATGGCAAGTCAGAAGAGAGCCCAGCTGGCTAAAGGAAGTTGTGGATCTAGATCTGGAGGCAGAATTCATACTTCTGTCTAGCAGGAGTTAATGATGTACTGATCCCACTGTTTCTTCATGTGTATATTTTTTCAAATGTATAAATACAATGAACAAAAATAATCATAATACATTGATACTTCTGCCTAACTTTATATCTCGCCTATCTCTGTAGTCTATTTACAATAACAAGTTGCATTAATATAATATTCAGAAGACATTAAATTTAACTATATCTTAAGTAACGCTGACATAAAAAAAATCCTGTAACAATTCTGCTTTTATAGATATGTGCATAGAAGATACCAACATATTACGACTTACAATGTCAGTTTTGGTCTGCACTATGGACTCATGCTCCTCTTAGAACTTGCCATATTAAAATAAATAAATTTCTGAAGTGCATTTTTCACCCTTTCAGTGAAACTGCTGTGCAACAACACTGACCTCTTGTGCCTATATTTGAAAGAGTCTTAGTAGCAAACAAAGTAGAAAACACATAATTTGAAAGGACAAGGGGCTGAGATGCTCTACAGTCAGAGAATATTTGCATTTTGATCCAAAAGGAAAAGGTTAATCATCTAGGAAGTTTAGCCTTATGTCTTCAAGCAGCTTTTAAAATGGAATCTATACCTATGTATGAACAACGAGACATAAAAGGGAAGGGTGTTGTGGAGGTCTTCTGCTGAACTTGTTTAAGTGCAGCAATATCTGGAAGAGTGCAGTACTCCTAAGAATGCAGATCTACATTAACAGTAATTTTCCAACTTTGAGCCAACATAGGCCTCTCTAATAACAAGGTGCTACAGGGAAAATGTCAGTTATTTTATTTTCCAGTAACCCACAGAGAACAGCAGTTGAGCACAGTTAAAGTGTTCTTGTACTTCCAGATCTGTTTCATATTCCCTAAGTTCAGTGGCCAAGGCACTTCCACTAAGGCTGATGTCAGGTATTCTAGGCGGTTGTAGCTTTTTTGCCTCTAGTAGAGCTACAAAAATTTCTGTCAGGTGTATCTTTTCTTGAAAGAATAAAATGGATTTAACTTCTTTTTTAAATTCTGTTCCGGACTTTGATGTTACTTGTCATGAAAATTACAGGGTTGGCCCAATATGAATATGCTGAATTTCACTTGTATACAGAAGTTATAATGAGTGGAAAAGTATGTTGATTAAATGCATTTTAGTTATCTCTAATAGGTATGAAATTTTTGGGCATAGTTTGTGCCCAAAATAGGATCTTGTATGGCTCAGACTATCAAATCCAGACCAATCTATAGCAAAAGATCTATCTGCTCAGTTGAGAGTAACTCCGTACACAAAAAAAGAGATTCTTTCTACAGGTGAAACAACATTTGTGAGAGCTGCTCGTGGAAGAACATCCCACCAGTTCTTTTATGGCCCAGGGAGCAGCCAGAGAAGGGCTTCCCAAGTATGCTTTATATACAGTGGGAAGCTAGCAGACAGCCAGACAAACTGTATCATTCTATACCAGCTGAGCATTTTTGTACCTTCACTTACTCCAGAAGAGAGGCATCACTCTCAAGAAAGCACTTATACAAGTTTAAACTATCCGTACTACTGTGTTTTCTAACAAAGACTTGGTTGCTGTCCTGTTTTTCTTGACCTTCCTCACAAAACTTTGATCTGGAAATCACGAATTAACTATCTGAAGATTAATTTTTCCGAAGTTATTTGCTGTCAGGAATCTTACTTTAACCTTATAAAAATAACTTTTACCTATTTGTATATTAGTTTGATTTCAGCTTACTAAAACATTGCAAGAGTTTCAATAAAGTGCTACGAGTCTAATATTCTGAAATTAAATTAGCAAATTAAATGGGATAAATACAAATCATCCTTACGTTCTGCAAATTGAACTGCAGTTGCTGCTTGTATGGTGCAAACTCCTGAGCCAATTCATATCCTTCATGGTAAAATGTAAATAATCCTTGAAGAAAGGCCAAGAGCTGAAAAGGTAAAATTGAGAAGCATTATACATTTTTAACTCCTGGAACAGTCTATACTTTATGCGTAAAAGCACAGCTTTGCTGAGAACGAATCCACGGTCAGAACTTAAGAAACAGAAAGAAGTGTTAAACAGCTTTTGCATCATGAAGTTGTAATGTACATAATAATTTAATTCACTGTCATAGTCATTTTATCCAGTATTTCAGCTGGAGTCTTTGCTAGTATTCATTTTCCGAGTTCAAACTTTCAGAGTTCAAGGGTTTTTTTCTCAAAATATTTTTGCACTTTCTTCATAGTAATTGCTTGGGCTATGACTTATTTTCCACAAATGAGACTTTTGAAACTATGTTTTGGATAGCTTAGTACAACACAAGAAATCCAGACTCTTTCTTCCTTCTCTGAACAAAATGCAAACTCTATCTGGTATGTCTGTGAATGACTCCAACAGAACCACTGAAGTCTACATATATCCAGTTGAAAAGTCTTTTTAAAGTTTGCTTTAAAACAATGTTCAAGTAGTAAAAGGAGCATCTAGAGTTTAGCTCTTGAACTAATGCATTCCCACCATCTCTTAGTTTTGAAAGCCTTGTAACTTACTCTGCTTTAAATTTTAAAAGTGTTTTAACATTGCTGTAAATAACAAGCATTTAATTTCTTATCAGGGACTGTTCTCTTTGTATAGGTAATTTAGATTAAAAAAAAGTTAATAAAACAACAACAAAAAAGATAAATTAATTTGTATGTACAATAACATAAGTTCTAACAAGAGGAAAGATTTTTCTTAGTATATTACACTACTAAAAAGCTAATCATCTAGGCTAAGTAACTGGATGTCTAGGCTGCCTCCTAAATCAGTAAAGAACCACAGGTATTCAGGAGCATAATTCTTTTTCCTTTTCCAGACTTCTCCCTCAGGATGGGACGAATGATCCAATGGAAACATTTCTCTCTCTCCATTGACTATTGAAGCAGTCTAGACTTAGGCAACAAAAATGCCATTGTTCATATTTAATGCACTTTGCTTTGTGTTACCAGTAAGTGGAACAGCATAAAAATGTAGTTTTTACTGTGTTTATATTTTCTTTACATTTACTCTCAGTCCTACTTGGAGAAGTGTCCTTAAATTGTTCTGCCTCCTCTCTCCTGTTACTCTCTAAGAGACTGCTGAGGTCATGCTTATCTGCCTGCTGTTTTGCTGCATTAGTAAGTTAAAGCAGTTCAAGGTTAACAGACCATCAGTGCTGGCACAAATGCAAACATAAGGATAAGGCTGGAAGTAGGACTTTGCCCTTGGTTTTTTTCCGGTATTGCAGGATCAGCTGAAACGCTGGCCTCAGGCAGAGATGGTGTGGGCCAACAGCTGTCCAGTAAACTGGTCACGGAGCTTGAAGAACTGAAAAGATCCTTGGACATCAAAGTAAGTTTTTGTGGGGGCCTCTGTAGTGGGTATGAATTCCTGAACTGTATTCCACTACCTAACAAACAAATGAAGGTAACATAGTCAAGTGGAACGCTCCACAGCTTGTGTAAATTGTCTGTCCACCTGAAATCATTATCTCAGCTAAGGACCTGACCTTGAAAGTCTCTTATTGGTTAACCAGTATTGGTTAACCACCAATTCAGGTGGTTCTGAGGAAGGTCCAAATACAACAGTTTGTCTTAAGAAGCTCCACTTGCATAAATAGATAGAAAGAGTTCTATAATTTTCTATAACTTTAGACTATAATTGTAAATTTCTATAATTCTAGAAAGAATTCTATAATAGAAAAGAAAGAAAATTAATCTTGCTTTTTTATGAATAGAGCATAAAATAAGTAAATTATAACTAAGGCTCTGCTCTGGCTCCAGTTATGTGAAGCCTGTGCTCACAGTCTAGATCCAGTTATTTATCAGTGTCCTCAAATACAACTCCTTCAGATGCAGCAGCATAACTACTCCTGTGCTTACTCTGGTTTGTTTCAGTCTAAAGGATTAACATAACCTGTAAGTACAAGTTTGATGCTAAACCCACCCCTTTCAACTAAAGAGGTACTGCAGGAGTAGTATGAGCGCTTAGCAAAACTGCAGTCACATCACAATGTTAGAGCACACCAAAATTACAATAAAAGAACTAGCGGGAGAAAGTTTCAGTGTGTCACCTTATGCCTGAATTATAAAGACCAGTTTACAGAGCATTTCAGGAGAATGTACTATAAACTGTTTAAATTTCATCCTCAATACTTGAAGAAAACCATTTTCCACCACACAAAACACATTTACAAAGTTCACTGAGAAATACCAAGGAAAATATTTAACACAAGATGGCAGCAAAGCTGAATTTATCAGAAAGCAAAAATACAGCAGCAAAGAAAAAAAAAAACAAGCCCTGAGAAAAATCTAAATTCATTTTGGTTAAAACACTTCTCAGGTATTCTGGCAGTTGTGCATTGCAGAGGATCTGGCCTTGAGGTCCTCTTGGTCAAATACTCTCTGAGCACTTAGAAAAATAGGAATAAAAGAAAAATATTATGCAAGTCCTATATCAGCTTATTCAAGTTCTGTGCTTAAACAATGGATGGTATTTGCTTCAAAATATGTGTCACTAGCAGTGGAAAAACAAGGATCAGAAAATGCCCTGTACCCAATGGGCCTATGCCATTGAGGCAATGCCATAATCACTTCGATTGACAGGTACAGCCAGAGCTCTGCACAGAAGAGATCTAAAAGCCAAGGACTTTTGCCGTAGGCTTATGCTCATATTGGGGTTTTCTTTTTCCTGGTGTTAGTGCTGCTAAAGGCAGGCTCATAATTTTAAAGCAATTAATATTAAACAGAATAGAAAAAAATACTAAAAACAAGAATAGAAAATCAGTGCTTTTCCTTCCAAAGAAGAATGAATGTATTTTGAGGTGCTCTTCATACATAAAGAGGTAATTTGTTTCATCAAACATCACAAACAATGCCTGATGCTTTCATATCGCAATTTTTCATTTTAACAAGTGCCTTATAGTTACCTCATTCTGAGTATCTAATCAGTCACATCAATAAAGAGTGTGGTCTGAACTTCGTAATACAAAGCTACTCACCATCTCAGAGCCACGAGGATTTCAACACAGAACCTGAAACTAAATCCAGCTACTTCTGAGACTTTATTTATTTTTATGTAGAGCTGGTGACCTCAAGACTGCCTGGTCGTTTCATTCTCACAGGAAGAAGATCATACTTAGGTTTCGGGTAGGGGAGGAATTTAACCTTTGGCTTGCAGCACATCAGCCAGAAGTCCCTGTCTCCCTGTTTTCATTTTATTTATAAGCAGATAGTGCTTACTCTTCAGATTAAAGTGAATGTAGTTAATAACACAGAAAATTCAAGAAAGAGGAAATCAAGTTTAATGTCCATTGTGAAGTCTCATGAAAACACATACAGTTACAGGCAGGGTTTTTTGGTTTGCTGTTCTTTTTTTGTTTTCTTTAAATAAACATTTAATGGACCATCCCACACATTTCAGATAGTTTACTGCTTATGAACTCTATGCCCTGATTTCTACAGTAGAAGGAAGTCCTGGTATCACCAAAGGACAAAGCAGAGCTCTAGGAAGGTATTTGCATTTTTTTAACAAGCATAACATCCTCAAAAAGTGGCATTGGTTTGGACTAGCTTCTTTGGGCTCACAAAGGAAAAGCTAGCAAGACAGATTAGTGTCACTTACTTTGCTTTTTTGTTTAACTTGATGTAAAGTAAATTTAAACATTAATTTGACCTTCAGAAAAAGTTCAAATTCATGATTTCTGTGAAAACCTGAGTTGTTTTTTTTTCTTGGAAACAATCTAGGAGGATCACAAATAGGAATATGTCAGTTACTCACACTAGTACACATTAGCAGCCCCTTCAATCAAGATGCAGAGGACAACAGAGAAACCCAGGGCCCTGGAAGCAGCTGCATAAGTCTACCTGAAATATTATAATCCTCTATTCTGTGTCTGAATCATTAGCATGTACCTTAAAATCTTTCCCTATTCTCCTTCAGGAAAGAACATACTCCACTCTTACCAACTTCTACTGTCCTAGCTGTAACCCACCTGGCAATTTTTGCCAGGTTATTGCTCCCACTCTGATTCCCAGATCATCCCTATCCTCTGGCACGGAAAACCTGAAGGTCTTGAAAGGAGGTCCAGCAGATCGTTTGCTTTTCAAGTTCTATTCCCATGTCATGAACTTATCCTTCTTTCATATGGGCATCACAGTTTCCTCCTTCACTGCACTAACAGATTTATTTTGTTAAACGCTCCTTCAAAGAGTCCATTAGCAACACATCAGACCAAGAATTATATAGAGATGTGACACTGTGCTGATAAATCAGACATAGCTAGCACATGCACTAGAATGCCCCACAACCATCAGAGCTCCTAAGGAGGAATGTCTATATAGACACACATCACCAGGCATCATCCATCATCTGAATATCCATAGAGCACATTTTAGAAAGCCTATTTTGAAGTCTTTGTGGTGTTTTTTTGTTTGTTTCTGTTTTGGTTTGGGTTTTTGTTTGTTTTGTTCATTGTCATTGTTATTTTTTTGTTTCTGTTTTTTTGTTGTTTTGGGTTTTTTTTCTTTCTTTTTTTTATTCTCATGGTATTGCTGATTTGTATTATAATTTACTTGGTATACTTTGCCTTATGGGTTTTAGTAAATAGTTTTATTCCAGCATTTTGTATGTAACAAACTACAAACATAAAATTAAGAATTTTGAAGGTTCAAAATTTTACAACTGATGTTATAATTTAAGCTCCGTTTATATTCAGCTTGATTATAAATAAATTCACACCCATAGTCAGATGACACTGCCTGCAAGGGCTACTACTGTCCAGTGTATTCCCCATACCTTCCAGAGTATTTCCCATAACCTTCCTCTGGAAAAACAAATAATGAGCTGTATGCAACAAACAGCATACTGGGCTGAAATGCCTACTGGTCTGAGACAGCATAGAAACTGATCCACTTAAAAGTAAATTTTACCTATTTTAACTATGTGCAATTGCACAGTATTTTCCAGTGCAAAAGTCTTTTCAATACAGAAAGTTTCTATTACATTAAAGGAGCATAAAGTCTTCTATACTAGGGTCAGAGCTAGGTCAAGATTGCTAGATTTTTCCAGGATGTGAGAGTTTTGCAGAAGGAGACAGAGAGAGACACTCTGGATTAATCTGTGACAGGTAGAAAAATGTTCTTATTTAGGAATCCGAGCAAAGTTTTAGTCCCTAAGATTTGGCAGCTGTATGCCATAAAGATAGGATTTCTGTAAGTACTGCTTGCTGAATCCAGGTTCATTAGTTTGCATCAATGTCAAACGTTCACTACACAATACATTCTCATCTCATGGAAAGAAGGCATCTGAGAAGCTCTTCTTGGTGACAGGGGGTGTTAGAGATATAATTCAACTTTTTTCACAGCCAAGAGTGTTGCTTCAGTAGTTACAAGGAAGCTGGAAGATGGTGTGAAGAGAGAGAAAAAGTTATATTTGTCATGTTCCTCTATCACGACTGATGTTCTGCTATGCTCAGTAGGCTTAATGGGAAGGGACAGATGACACTGGAAGTTCTCTGTCAAGGGCTACGGGTACTAACTAAATGAGGCAACTGGCAAGCTAGTCCTGTATGACACGAACAGTAATACTACTAATATGCCACAGAAATATGCTAGCACATCATACACATCATACTGCTTTTGGTACTGACTGACCAAGAAGATAGCTGGGAGATGAGGGGGGGCAGAAACACAGTCCAGAAGAAAATCCCAGACCTAAATATAGACTTTGAAACACAACTTTATCTTACTCTTTAATGGAGTGTCAACACATGCTTTCTTTTATGTGCAAAGTAAACTAAAGACAAAGGGCTCCACCAACAAAAAATAAACCAACCTATCCTACAGAAAAGTTGATTTTTCACTTTATTTCATATGTAAATCAGAAGAACGTACGTGTACACTACATACATGAAATATTTAAATTAAAAAACTGACTTAAAATTTAAGCCATTAAATCACAGTATTAGTTAACATCCATTATGTGTTGCACAGACACAATATTACATGTTGTCCCATTAAAATGTTATACACACTTCAAGTCATCAGACATTTCACTTCACAGCAGATATGAAACTCTTATGTAATCCTTTAATAAACATGGAAAGTGCCCAAGTCAAGATCTTCATGTCTACGTACAAACAACCTGCATTCACAACTTTAAAAGGGAGCAAAAAAATACAATAATTTAAATTAAATTTTTAGCTTTAAATGCGTCCATTCTAAAGAAAATAAAACAAAACTTACAGGTTCTACAAATTCAAATTTCTTTTTCTCTTGTACTTCTTGAATTTTAAAAACATATTCTAACGATGCTTCATAAAAGTTCTGATGTTCTCTGTCAATCTGTGTATCTGCCTAAAAGACAAAATGAAATATAGACAATATTAATTTAGTCTCATGATGAAAGACTATGTCTTTACCAAACAGATTTTCCGTAAAATTACTTTACAAGTTTCATGGGGTTCAATTTTCTTCCTGAAAATTGAAATACCTCCTTAAAATAGCTAAATGAAAGTTTAAGAAGCTAACATTACACATTTTAGCCTCATGCCTTTTTCCCTCTTTTTTTATCGTTTGCTCTTCCTTTTTGCACTTTCGTATTCTAGTTTTTAGGAAAGCCTGGAGGGGAAGAAAGGTGGCAGTAGGTACTTGGTGTATGCAAGTTTAGAAAAAGAAATAAAAGTGAGTAGCGTAGGAATCAAAGAGAGACAAAAAGATAATTATTTCTATTGAAATGTTTAAGTATCACATGCACTGAAATTGTATCTATTTCTTAGCTTCAAATACCTTCTCAAGAACATTTTCCTTTCTTAAATAGGCTGTCTTTAGCATTGACATCTTGCAACTTGTTATTTTATAGGATGAATCACATGCTCTTGGAATGTAAACACATTTAAGTCCTTAACCTCATAAATAAAATATTTTTCAAGTTTTAATTTTCAAGCGACAGAACTACAAGGCAATACTTGTAAGAAGTGCCTGACTAATACCACCCACCATGGGGATCCAGTACCAGAACAGTGTCTTCTGCCTAAACAGCTAAAGAATTAACTCTTATCAGCTGATAAAGAGTAATAGGCTTTTATCCTCAATTTAAACAAGCCACAGGAGAGGGAACTAACAGACAAGCAGCGCAGCATGTAGATAATGCTCAAAGGAGATGCAGATTCTATTTTAATTCATCCTTCTTCAAAAAAAATTATTTTCTCAAGCAAATCCCTTTTGGGCTGCATTAGTTAGGTTTATGGTCTTTGGTCAAAATTTTTTCATGGATTGACAATTCGAGTAAGACCACTTCACCTACTTTTGATGCATGCCTGTTAAAATACAGAAGGATACTTCTGTATATTCTCTAGTTCAATTCTGGGATTAAAAATAACAAATGTGGGGAAGTTGGAAAAGCTTGATGTTGTCTTCCTTTGAAAACAAACCAGCAAATACATCATAAAAGATGTTTAGTACTTTTAACAGTATAAAAGCAAAAAGTCAGTGCTTTCCTTCAGGCAGGAGTTGGTCATCAATAGCACAATATATAATTAAGATTGCTTGTTTAGTGAAGGACATCCTACTACTGTGATTTGGCTACACAGACTCTTAATATTGATCCACCTCCCTAGCCCAGTGCTCTAACACTACTTCAACACATGGGCCTCAATGTTATATTTCAAGTGATTCAGTACCAGCATTTCTTTCCCATGCCTATAGCAAACAAACAAACAAACAATCAGTAAATTAAGTACACAAACTAATATTATGAAGCAGAAATCAAACACTCAAAATGCCAATAATGAACCGCTCTATCTCAAAATTAACTCCGCGATTTGCCATTCATGTGGTGTGTTTGGCTACTGTTTTCTCTCATACTCTGTTAATAATTTTATTTCATAAAAAAATGTATCACAAAGTCAGTGCTACATAGCTGAACCAAAGCAGTTGCCACCACTTTGAGACATGATCCAAGAATCCCTTGCTCATAAAAGTGGCATCAATAAGCATGTGAGACAGACCTCAGCTCTCACATTTAATTGTAAGTAAATAATAAAATCTAGTTTTAGAAATTATCTCTTTCAGGCTTTGGCTCAGAAAAGGTATTTAAACACCTAATTAAATCCATCTCTATTCTAAATAGCATTTAAGCAGGTTGTAGTTGTAATGATACACCAACCAAGTACCACCTCTAATATGGATAGGTTCCTAAATTAAGGCCATAATCACCACCAATGAACAGGGACTATATCAGAATTTCACAAATATCACAGAATCACAGAATATGCTGAGTTGGAAGGGTCCCAAAAGGATCATCGTGTCTAACTCTTAGCCCTGCACAGGACCAATATACATTCTGTAGAAGCTTATGAACATCAAAGGATTCAGATTTGTAAGAATCACTTTGAAAGTGATTTTAAAGTTTCAAAAGGTGAAAGGATTTTCACATTTTCCTATGACTTCAAGCTTCATGTATAAAATGAAGATATTTGATGTATATGATTTTGAGTCTCTATGTGTATGATATCTAGTTATAGTGAGTAATATTTTCATTGATGTAGGCTATCATTACAATGTACATAAGAACATCACATAAGCTTAGGGACTGATTCCGGAACAGATTTCAGACAAATAAGATCAGAAGTTTATTAACTTTCTCACATCATTCAATTCTGCCCATTTTCTGCTCCTCTATGGGCTTCCCTAGGCAGTGAAAAGATCCTACTACGAAGACTCCTTTTGGTGCTAAAGGAAAAAAGCGTAGTCATCTGAGTCTTGCAGGCTCTTAAAATATCCAACACATTTCAGTTAGGTGAATATATGCAAACTACTCTCTACAGAATATGTTCGGACCATCAAACTTCAGATGCCTAATTAAGGTGCTCTCAACTGCACAGCCCAACAGAGTACAAGAACTGATCCTTGCTCATCCCAGTACTCCTTAACCCACATAATGTGAGGAGGTATCAAGAAACCTCATAAATCCAAGGAAATAGCAAGTTTAAAAAGAAGAATTTTTTCTGTGTAACTGTAGCAGTCAAAAAACAGTATTCCCATCTCACTAAATGCATGATATTGATTTGAGGCATGGACTTCCCATCACCTGAACTGAACATCAAAGTCCTAGCTGCCAGAACCACTTGGTTCTTTGCTCATGCCCTGGTTCTGCTGTGGGTTGCTCCAACAAACTCCATCCTGGACATCTGTGCTATAAATGGGACTCACCCAAACCACTCTGGATATGAGTCAGCACTTACCACTTGGATTTCAGGCCAGGAATTAGTGCTTGGCCTCCTTTTATTTACAATACAGATATAGGCCAAAAGTCTCCCTAATTAAAATTTTTGGTACCTATTTGCTATTGTACCTTCTGCTTATGGCAGGTCTATGTTGCTGATTCAGCACATCTACAGCTGCAGAAAACTGGGGAAGACAGAAATGCCCTTGATTCTTTACAAGGGAGGTATCTGGGAAAGCAGAAAACCTCAGCCTCAGTTACAAGATTTTAAATCCAGATATGTCACTTAAGGACACAGTGGAAAATATTATTCTGGTTTTTCATTAGTTTATATACTTGAGTCAAATCCACTGTTATTCTACCATAGTTTATTAAATTCACAGTTGTTACTTTTCACTTCAGTTGCTACTTTTAGACTGCAATTATTCTCATGTCTCAAGAGTAAAATATTTTATTTGTTTTATTTTATTTCTATTCTAGAGCAATTTGGTGCTTAAGTTCATTTTTCCACATTTCAGTAAGAAATTTTTTTTTTTCATCTGGAGCCTAGCCTCTAACAGAACTGCTTCTTTATCAATACACAAGATATGTAGAAAAAGTGAAAGCTCTGACATATAAATTGAATAATTAACCAATCCTACATAACTGATGTCTGATATAGACTGACTACAGGAATTCAGGTATATAAACATTATTACAAATTTTGAATTGCTAAGCCTGATTTAATTTGAATTCTAATATTACCGGTAAGCATGAAAAAAAATCTACGACTTGTGACTGAGTGATGGTCACATCTCTGGTGAAAATTCCATCTGCAAACTAATCCCCATGATTTAAGAGCCATCATGACAAGAGTTATCCCATCAAAATAATTTTTAACTATTTTTGGCATAAATCCCAAAGTGTCATTGATACCATATTGCTGGGTTTACTATAATTTGCTTCAAAGAAAAATCACAATTATTTCTACCAGCATACTGAAAAGCCCTGGAATTCTCCTGTTAAACTAGAAGTCTTCATGGTTTGTGTTTTTAACAGAAAAGTATTAGCCATACAGGCTCTTCAAAGCTGAAGTTGTGGATACAATTTCAGGGTATGATGCTGCAATTTCAGAATGAAAAAGAGGAAGAAAGAAGAAGAAAATAGTATCATTAAAGTGATCTCAGTTCAGTCTTCCAGCTTAAAATTTATGTGAAAGAGAAGCGTAATTTCATTGATTAATACATTAAATAGCAAAACCCCCCCAACAATTAATAAGCTGACTTTCAAATATTCCATATTTAGCTTATCAAACTCACGGTTTTATTGTAGTAATATAATTCCATTGTAACCAATAAACACTAGCTGTACTTGAAATACACAAAGTTGCACAGGTAGAATATTGCATTGTTATTGTGAAACTGGGTAACAGTGCGTTCAGTGCTTACATCTTGCAAATGAGATTCTTTCTTCTTTGCTGATAAATTTAAGTGCTTCTCTAAGATGGAATAATATTTCTCACTTTCCTTGTCAAACTTCTTCTTCCCATCCTGAAAAACAAAACATTGCCAAATAAAGTACTTGACTAAATATTACAGCTCACTTAAAAGAAATAACAGGTGCCAAAATATGGCTGGTTATAAAACCATTTTTGTTGATTCCAATATTTTTAGAGTTTAATTCTGAATTGGACCTGAAGATACTAGGAGTACTGCTTCAATTATCAAAAGCAATATTAGGTAGGATTTTTCCCGTAAATAATCAACTCATACAACAGACTCGCATGGTTTCCCATAGTAAATATACATGAGGTTATATGTAGGTGGTATCTTTCTAGGCAGACATTAATCCTCCCCTAGTTTTATAAGTGTACCTAACTGCCACACTGCCTTTGTTGAAAAAAAACGAAAACATTGTGTAAGAGGTGAGTATAAAAAATGTGATGATGATATATGCCTATCCTTTGCATTTTACACTAATATGCTTATTTTTCATCCACACTAAAAATATGAGGATGATGGAAAAGTATATGTGTGGTTGCAAAAGGAAATTGGTGCAAAAGTCTGTTTCCAGTAATATTCCAATGTGTCTGAATATTTAAGCTTGCCTCATTTAAAAAAGTTATTCTGCCTTTTTCCTTTCCCTTAAAGTTTTTCCTTTCCCTCCTCTTAAAGTTTTTCCCATCATATGTAGCTAATCTTCACATTTCCACTGTAAGACTATTTTAACGTGATAATACAAAAGAAAGCTACTACGCTGAGAAATAAGAAACATCTTATTTTCTGTATTCGAATTCAGAATTCATACTTCAAAATTTTTAAATCTGCTATTCTGAAATTTAAGAAAAAGACAGCTTTCTCAAAAGCTTTTCCATCTTTCAAGAAGTACCAAATTTCAAAAAATAGGAGAATGGATCAAAGTCAATATCTCATCAGAGAATCATTAATGATAAAAATATAATTTTTTAATTAAATAATTATATGCTCTCTAATTAAGAGCAACCCTCTGCCAATGACTTTTACAGTCTTAGAAAAGTCCTAATGATTAACAAGTTGAATGTTTTGAGAAAACAAAAAAACCCTCAAGACAAACAGTCCTACTTATACATGTGCAAAAACTATTAACTGCAGAAAAACTAATTACTGGACATCATGCAGTAACATCAGGTCATTTTAAGAACTGTAGTGATTCTTTCCCTGACCCTTTCTCCCTAGAAATTGTTATATACAAGACCAAATAACTAGCTTGCATTGTAGCGCTAACCTTCCTTTTTCATATCATGGGAAAGTCAGGTTAGTCAGAGAACTAAGACATAGGAGGAAGAATTTAATGACAAGAATTAAAACTTATCAACCAGCTGTAACAACAAACCACTTACTGATTAGCTCCAGTGACTAAAGCTCACAATGGTAATTATGCTTGAATGTAAAACACATCATATACCTTATATCCTGGAGAAAGTTCAAATATATTTAGTATGAAAAATATGCACAATTTTAATGTTCTCACTACCCCACAACGGAGATATCTCCAAAAGACACCGTAAAGAAAAGAGGGTCCTTGACCCAACAAAATATTAAATAACAATACAGAAAAATTCCCAGTGTCTTCTAGATTTAATTACAGATATTCATATATGAGAATAAAAAGGTAAAGAGGAAAATATATCTAAATATATATGTAAATATATTCCAAAATCTTTCCCAAACACATTTTTTGAAGAAAGAAAGAGAGAAGGCAGAAGGTAAGAGTTCCTAGATGACTGATAAGTCAAGAAATCAACTCCTGTGGGACTGAAATCACAGGTCAGTTCCAGAGCCACAGTTTTATTGGGGAATACTCAAGTGCCAGGTTTTTATGATGCAGGAAGAGAAACCTGAGTATCTCAACATCACATCTGGTCACTAACAGAAATTCAGCGCAGTTGATCACATCCCACAAATATGTACCTTTTGAATAAAAGGTGCAGCTAGTTACATACTGTCTTATCTTCTGAGACAATGACGTTAAGTGCTGGGCTAGAAATATGAACCAGACTATTATAAAACCCAAGTAACAGAGGTGGCAAGTCACCATCTTGAGGAAATTCTTGAGTCAGTGCAAATCTAATGAAATGAAAAATGCAAAGAGAATTACTTTTTAGGGTGGTTTTTTTACCCATGTCACTGAAAGTTGGGTGAGGAGTCTGCCTGATCACAATATTTATGCCTTTGGTCACAAGCTACTGGAGTTCATTGGTGGATACCCTGTCCATTAGACCATCTACATCAGCAGGTAACTTGACACAACCTTTGACAATGAGGCCTGGGTGCAGATAATATATACTTCACATTTGGGTTTGATGTTGTGCTTGCCTTTGCTGCCTCAGAGGCAAGACCAAAGGAATGAGCCAAGGAGCCATGGGCAAACCTCCTGCAGGATTATCTGTTTCCTGCCCAGCCAGGTAAGAATGATTTCCTTCCCTAACAGATTTATGATATGATCAGTAGGTATTTCTCTTGCCTTGTGAACTATTTGTCTCAGAATTCAAGCTGAGAAATGGGTAATGGATGATCCAAAATCTGATCAACCACTTATGTTGAGCTGACGCTCAACATAACCTTAACATAACCTTTACTAACTAGTGTTGGAAGAGTGTAAAGTCTAAGCTGCTTGGTGAAAGTCAAAGAGAAAAAAGTATGTAACACCAGGACTTGGCCATCTGAAATACCTACATACAGCACATCAAACATGTCAATGCCAAGAGGGGTCCACTGGCACATCTAATGTGGCTTCCAGTGCACCAAATCCAGCCGGTTATATTTTCTATCATCTACAACAAAACTTGTGAATTACATATCAAATCACCTGTTCTCTTTATATGTAAAAAGGAAAACATAATAAGTAAATGATCACATCAAAATAGGTACAACTCCCCCAAGAACAAGAGTAAATCAAGCTCAAATAAGCTAACTGTGGTTTTAAGGTATCTTGTATCTTATGTGAAGCTTTATGAAGATCTCCATGTCACCATCTATGGGGACACAGAATTTGAAGGCCTCTTGGTCTTCTGCCAGCACTGCCAGCCCCCTCCCAGACTGAACCTCATGCTGACACAGATCTGCTCAACCACTACCTTCATAGTTTTTATATCAGTTACATTGAAGAGAAAACTACAAACTGGAGCTTCCTTGTTACCAGGACAAATTCTGGCCCAAGCACAATGTTTCCAGGAAAGTACATCCTATGAACTTCTTCCTTGTTTTCCAGACTTTAACATTACAATAATTTCTCCCTTCAAAGGTAGGAGTGGACAAACTAAGGAGAACAGAAGTAAACTGAGAATAACGATCAGTTGGCAGTTTTGACTGCAATAGTGTCTTTATCTGCTGATGTTTCTGGGAATAAGGTTGCAGTGCCAGCAGGACAATGTCTCTGGTTATTTAAACAAGTTTCTGGGAAAAGTATAAAAAATACTGGCCCCAACAGGTGACGAGTTCCCTTTGCTTGGAAAGTCCTCTGCTACGCCAGTAAAAACCACATATTTGAATGCACTGAAGCCTCTGAAATCTGTTTACTTCATAAAAACTAACAAAAAAGACACACTCAGAAGCAGGTGATTCATTTTCTGGATGAGAAGAAACACTTTAGTTTATGCCAAAATAACTCTCACCTCACAAACTCAGTCAGTGACTCACAGTACACAGACATGTCCTAAGTGGAGTCAGATTCAGCTCATTCCAGCTTTAGTCTGTTCTTCTGCAATCCTCAAAATGCTTTTATATACAGCTACTGCCCAAATTAATATCTGAATCCCGATGCCAGCAATCTGTGCCCATAGGACTGAGATTTCTGTTCTTCCACATGCCATGACGAGGCAAGTTTCCATGCAAAACTGTAACTCCTAAAAGCTTAGGAGACAGATGATTGCTTTTGCCTAGATTCCATAGTGGATCAAATCCCAAGGAGAAGGATGTGGTTGGATAAGAAAGCTAATGCTGTTCTGTTACCAGAACAGTCTGCACAGTCATGACACAAAGCATAAGGTACATGGCCATTAGGAAGATTCTAATTCCTGACCTCTGCACTATGTCTCTTATTCCCTTCAGACTCCAGCTTTCTTTCATCCTTGCACATCTTTCCTGCAAGTAAACCTCATCCTTTCTCTTTGCCCTGGAAAAATATCAATAATTTCTTTCAAAATATTAGCTAGGACATATTAAAAAAAAAAAACAAAAAAACAACACACCAAAACTCAAAAGAACCATGCAAGACAATTAGGAGGGTACAATAAAAAAAACTAAACAGAAAAAGAAAAATTACATAATACTACTCCTTGGCATGTTTTACATTGATGTATAAGTCATCAACACCTTTTGTCTAGACCAAGTCTAGCAGAATCTAAACACTGTAAATGTCTCTCTATAGTTTTTTAACCATTCTGAAGTACATCAAGTCTTAAATCAGTTTAAAAATATTTACAGTTTTAAATGCTTCAAATTTCTAACAACGACATGAGGAAAGCCCTTAACCACACACTCAGCTTCTAGCATGTAATGGAGTCTTACTAACTTCCAGTACCCTCTTGAGACACTCAAGTGATGTAATACCATGTCCAGGTTTAATTCTTGGTTTTATCCTCTTTGCTCAGATTTCTTGTATAATTTTATTTCAAAACTACTTAGACAATCTCCAAAAAAAGAAAATTATCTTTTCAGAAATAAATTTTGCTCAAGATACTACTAATTATAGGCACGCCTGTTAATAGTTTAACTCAAAAGATGTTCTTCTATCCCTCTGGTTTTACAGGCATCTGTGGCTGAAAAGATCAGACATCAATTATTAAAAAAGTGACTCAATTGAGTCAGATAAATTTTTTCCTGTTCATAAAAGCTGTGATTCCATGCTGTAACTAACCATACACATGCAATGAATCACTGGTATGATTCCTATAAATTTTACCCACAAGCTGTATTTTTGGATGTAAAGCAGAAAGAGTTGTTATATTTTGAAGGTAAATTTCCTTTTCCACTGGGAACACCAAGAAATCTGATTTTTTTTTAATGGTCTA